TTTAGCCAATCAGTTTTGTCGTCACAGAGGTGCATCCCAGGTGTTGCAGCTGGAGTAAAACACCTGCATGGTCTGACTGCAACCGGCTCACCTGCGATGTTTTAAGGTCAAGTGACATGATGAGGTTTTGCAGGGCTGGCAAAAGTCAGACATTGGCTGTGAGTGCATACAGGTTTTGTGTGTGTTTGTCAATAGTGAGAGCTCTGCACATGCTAAGATTCTGCTCTGTGTCTGCATGTGTTTGGAGGAGGCACAACTAACTGTAAATGTATGTTACAGCATACAGATTGTGCTATGTAGTATTTTATGCTCCTATAAATAAAGTACTCAAATGTGCATGTGTGTTGACATCACCCTGTGTTAATGAGCAACAAGGAAGTGACTCTATCCTTAATCATACTACCATCTGTTCACTGACTGTTCACACACACACACACACACACACACACACACACACACACACACACACACACACACAAGCGTGCTTTCTCTCAAATTCAAAATGAAAATCAGCTGCACTATGCTTGTGACAGAGGTAGACTGGGAAGCACAGGACATCAGTTACAGACAGGTATTTCAATGTATTGATTGCTCAGTGTGTTTGGGTCAGATATGCTGCAGAACCAGTCATATAGCTGAATCAAAAAGTTTGGAGCAGAAACAAAGGTTGGCATTAAATCATCACAATTGGCCTCCTGTGCCTTTCCTTAGCCTCTCTGTTGCTAAGGTGAAGATGTATGTTTAAGATGTTATTACTGGTCTGCAGCAGAAATATTTGGGTCAAAGCACACCCAATAAAGAGTAAAGGTAAAGAGATTTACCTGTTTTACAGTTTTAAATGTTATTGAGACCAGGCCTTTACAGTTGTATGGGCAAATGGATCATTTGAATTTGTTGTTGGTGACACTTGCACTCTTCACAAATTTACCTTAGAGCTCACTTATCAATATGTTATATTTTGGTTCATCGAGTTTGAGAACGTGTGCTTGTTAATTATCTCTGCTTGAGGCTAGCAGCCGGAAGTAACATAAGTACTTTGGGGGCCCCAGACAAAAAGGGACCTAGGGGGGGCAAACATCAAACCAAAGCAAAGCACTTAGTTTGTCATTCTGACCATGTTGTCGCTGCAGTCTCTGGTCCATAGCTGATCACAACATTTTAGGGGTTTCTTCCAAAAATGCATATGGGTTATGTTGCAGCATGTTTTGAAGGAGTAAGAATACTATATACAGGGGTATCAAATCAATTACAATTACCAAAATTGTATTATCAATGAATGAACAATACTAAATCATAGTCCATTTGGAATGAGGTTAATATGGTGGAGTGAACTACAGCAGCAAACAGAATTGGCACTGACAAGGTTATAATGACTGTGTATATATACATGTTTATAAGTTTGAATGTCTCACTCTCCCTCTCTTTTTCCAGGGAGTGGTGACAGGAAATCTATGTGTGACCTGTTGTGAGCAGTCATGTTCAGAAACAGCCTGAAGATGCTGCTGGGAGGCAAAAGCCGCAAGAACAACAATGGTGAGTAGCTCTGCGTCATTGTATATTTTGTGTACCCTTGCATGTTAAAAGCTACATGTTCTTTTTACTGAGAGCATTTTTCTCAGTTTTATATCTACTGGTTGCTGATATGTTCTTCAAGTGATTGCCATTAATTTATACAATCTTATATTCACTTGTCCTTAACAGGCGGCAGCATCATTGAGTCAGAGGGGTCAGACGTCAGGATGATGGAGGGGTTCACGCGTTCTCTTCCCTCATCCCCGCTCCTCAACCTCCGGCTGGGCAAAAGAAGTGGTAATATTTGTGTACTTTCCCTAAGAAGATATTGTGTGATTCAGTCACATACGCTGTAATGACATCTATCCTAAGTCAAATACAGGAATATACTGGAAGGTACATTCAAACAACACAAAGAAGAAAATAAAATGTAACATTTAAATTCACTAGATCCAGATTTTTATTTAGATCTGCACCAAATTGCACACACTCATAAATATATGTATACATATTACAATATATATAGCATTTTTCTAGTCTTACCACTCAGTGTGCTTCACAGTACAGGTTTTTTTTCCATTCATGCATTTACACACTCATTCATAGTACATCTATAGGCAGCACTCTTTCTTTGAGAACGGCACAATTTGAGTAGCTCGACCAAGGACACGTCTGCATTTGGAATGGGAAGACTGGAATCAAACCCCTGTCCTTCTGGTTAGAGAAGGACCCGCTCTACCCCTGAGCCACAGCCTCTCAATTTTTTCATGAAACTTGCTTTTACGAATACACTGGGATACTTACTTACCTCATTTTTACTTATATTATCTTACATTGAGATGCAGCACTGATAACACAGGATGACGTGAAAAATGTGCAGTCAATGGGTTTCCTATCAGTCTGTGCAGGGTCATGTTTATATATCTTATTAACTTTAAAAAAATCTGAGTGGACATAAGTGTATAATTGTTTCCCTTAGTTCAGACATATGTAACCAAACCGAGAGAAAGGTTATCGGACTTTGTTTGTATGTTTTATTTCTCATCTTGTCAACCACTCAAAGCACTTTACATTCAAGCCACATTCACCCAATCACACACACATTCATGCAGTACTATTATATGCTGTGCTTTTTACTTTCACACACCATTTATCCATCGCCAGCACAGCTGTAGGATTTTTGGATCAGATACTTACTGGAGGAGCCAGGAATCAAACCAGTTAATGGACAACCCATTCTTCCTCCTGAGCCACAGCAGCCCACACAGCCTTAAAAGTGATCCTGGGTGTGAAAGTGTCTACAATAACCTTCGCTACCGTTCACTGGTAAAAGAAAACTGTGGAGAAAACCCCAAACACACTTTAAAGATGTGTTACAGTTTGAACCTCAAAGAATATATTAATTTGATAAAGCGGTCACAATAAAAAAAGTTGAAGAGATATAGCCTGTTAAGATTGTTTGTTGCTTGTGGCTTCATTGTTTTATGTGCTAGTTGTGCCATACACCACACAAGAATATCTGCCCAATGGAGTCTGGGTTCTGGTTAAAAGGGAGGAGAGAACCAAGAAGAAACCATAACAAGCATCAAAATTGTTTCTCATTTACTCCCTTTACCACACACGCACACACACACACACACACACACACACACACACACACACACACACACACACACACACAGCTGTGACCTGTTACACTGTGTCTGGCAGCAGCGAGGGGGTTGACCTATGACCCTACATTTGATCATCCCTAGGTGCCTTAGTGAGAGAGAAAATGCAGAAATGTAACCCAACCTCTTGCAAAGCTCTCCTCCTGCTCCTCCTCTTCCTCCTCCTCTTCCTCCTCCTCGGGGCTGATTTGACACACTTTGTCTAAACATTACCATGTGGAGCTCCTGACTCTTTATTTTCTGTGTGCTTTCTGTCAAAACAACAAAACAAAAGAAACCAAGGCAGCTGATTAAAGTCAGTATTACAACATACCCACTTGTTTAAAAGCTCTAATTTCAATTTCAAGCACATTTTTGAGCAAAATTGATTTATGATATCTGGTTTATATAAACTATTATGTCATAGTAATGTGTATTTATGGAAAAACGGCTCTCAAATGCACTCACTGAAAAATGAGCTATAACTTTAAAATGCAGTAACTGCAGGCCACTCAGTACTTACCACTAATCACGATAAAGTAAGCTGGTGAGATAGCTTTAGCTAAATTTAAACTTAATCTGCTAGTTCCACCATTACCTGTAATTCAAAAATGTCTATTTTAATGAACTAACTTCATGGTAATTCAGTTTCTTATTCAACACAAAGTAAAAAGAGGCAGTAGTAAATTATCATGATGAGGAAAAACAAGCTGAACTCCTCAAGGTAAAACTAGCATATCTTCGTTTATGGGGATTTTGCTAGTAAAGGGATTTACAGAGTAACATTAGCAAAACATTAACACTCAAACTTTTAGCTTTGGTGTCCACCAATCCTGTGAATCTGGCACGTTATCCGCATTGTTCATCAGCTGTAGCAGCAAACTGTTGTCTGGTACTTACTGTGGTCAAAAATGGTGCCTGCGATTGTACATTTGATCTGTTGCATTTTCATGGTAAATTTGAAGTTATTACATTGATATAAAAATGAATATTAATAGTCTTTTGGCAAACAGAGGAATCATGTTAGCTCACTTCTAGCTGGGGTTACAACCAGAGGGTGCCTTGAGAAAAAAAACAGAGATGTATTTGATTCCTTAGACTTTGGAAAGGAATGTTAGAAAGACATTAGATCATCTTCACATCCAGTGGAGGATAACCAACTCTACATCTGAACGTCATCTAAACAATAACTGATGTTATATACTAAATCTTCTATCTAGGACTTCTTTCTACATTTTTAACATTTTTGGGACTAAAGTGGATTATAATCGTCCGTGACTGTGTTCAGACCTGGTTCAGACACTCTTTTGTTCTTCGAAAACTGGATTCTCTCTCTGGCTGCAGCATTTCTCCTTCATCTGAGTCTGCCCTCACTCTTTCTCTTTTTGGCCGTGCTTTTCTTCTGTTACAAGACAGAAGACCGAGCTGTGTTTTTTAACTTAGCCCACATTTCTTGACATGTACACTCTCCACTCGGCTCCTCCTGCAGTCCCTCTCTTTCACTCTGAGTGTGTGTGTGTGTGTGTTGGTTGGAGGAGGGAGGAGGTTCAGACGGGGGAGGTCGCCTTTCCGAGCAGATATGGAGGCTCTGCAGTTGAAAGAAAAACTCTTCTAACAAATGGAAACTTTACTTGTTGCTTTCCTTACCGAAGAGGACGTCCTCTGGGAGAAGATTTCCTATTTGCACTTCATGCATCAATTGTTCTGGTGGTTTGCTCTTGTTTTGAGGAGGCTCTACCTGTGAATGAAAAGGAGTGCTTTTTTTTTTTGGGGCTGAAAAGGATAACAACCAGTAAAATACCTTGTCCAGATCTGCTGTGTGAGTTGCTGTAAAGTTGAAGAGCATGTGCTTTCCATTTTTACTGGAAAGAACATCAGTACCTTCACTGTTTATATGAAGAGTTTGGCTTTTAACACTTTTCATATGTTTTACTCTTCTGTTTTAAAAAAAAAACAGCAGTCATTCTGCTTCAGAAGTTGGCGTTAGAGTGGACTTGAGCGGTTTTTCTTTTCCCGGAGAGTCTCTCCCCCCTCTTATCTCTCCATTCCTACCTCCCTCATCTTTCTGTCCCTCTCTCTTTTGTGTTCTCTGGAGAAGGAGGAGCTCAGAACCAAAGGGAAGAGGACTAGGCAGTGATGTTCCAATGTGCATCCAGTACAAGCAGTGCCACGGCAATTGACTCAGTTGACTCTGCCCTCTCCATGGAAGCACTGTGAACTAATCAGAACCCTGTTGCCAGCTAGCTATGGACTGCACAGCTGCTATTTTGAAACCATGTGTGTGCTCTAGAACCAAGTGGTGTCGGCATGAGCGCTCCTCCAACCACCGTCGCCCATGGAGGCTGCTGCATGGCTGCAGTTGTGGCAGAGGTGTCATGGAAGCGGATGTCGTCAACCACGCCTCCTCCCTCCTGCGTCGTTTGCTGTTATATGTTTGCTGTTGTCTGTCCAGTGAGGATAGCCCTGAGCTGCGACGAAATTGGGTGGCTCCTCCCATCGATGGAGCACAGAGGGGAGGAAGAAGAGAAGAGGAAGGTGAGAGTGAAGTAATGAGCAGGCATAACAGAGTTCTACCTGGGGAAGAATATACTATCTTCGTGTCTGTGTTAAGGGATGGTGTGTTTCAATACATTATACATCATAGGGATCATCTTAGCATTTGTCTTTGCATTTTCATAAAGCGAGGGGACTCAAAAACGACATATTTTAAGAGAATTGTCAGAACCAATGCAGCAGATTCCAAAATATCCAGACTTATAGACTATAGCATGGGTCAAGCTCAATATTCCTAATTCCCTTCATAGTATTTTCATTGGACTCCACCCCTTTATTGGCCAATCCTATGAGAGGTCACACCTAAAGTTTGTGAGGCCTACTTTTTGTTAAAAGATTGAAACTGAACTTCATATGCAAAACTGTATGAAGTGTCACTTTGAGAGCCATTATAACTAAATCAGCCATTATAATCAGGAACAAAAGATTCCCCTGCTGTTGGAGAATTACGCCAGATTTGACACATACCTAGCTGGGTGGTGTAGCATCTATAATATTATTAACTTTGGTTTGCATGATTTGTAAAATATCAAATTTGTTAAAATTCAGTTTCAAATTGAGCACAACAGTGTGACCCTTTGTCAAAAGGTAACAAAGAATATGTTATGAGCAGTCTTCATAACAGCAGTCATTATTTTAACAAAATAGTTAATGTTCTCAACTATAGACCTACCATATAGACATGTTTTATGTTATCAGTAGTAGATTTGATTTCAGCTGAAGCAGCCAGCCTGTGCTGTACAGTATCGCAGAAAAAGCAGAATGTCTTCAGAGGGAAGAAAACTCAAGATTAAAACAAACTGGTCGCAAGAGAATAAAGAGGTTGAAAAGGCATAAAGAAGGAATGAATTGAAAAAAGATGGAATAAAGACAGGAATGAGGGACTGACAGAAGCTTTCGTAGTTCATGATAGAAATGGAAAATGTCTGTTTTATGTATCTGATCTTTCCATTTTTTTCCTTCTAAAAACAACTCACAAACCCTGTCATTGACTGACCACACACATATGCATGTATAAGCGGATGCACACACACACACACAGATACACACATACACACACATGCACACACACAGAGTATTTCCAGTTAGCTTTGTGTTTGCTTGGTTTTATTTTCAGTCTGCGATGCTCCTCTAGTATTTAGTCCACAATTTATAGCCATAATTACAGACTGTCAGAGAAAGACACAGAGTATGAGCTTTCAGGCTGTGGCTCACATTCTTGTAAGAGTGTGTGTGTGTGTGAGCGTGTGCGTGCGTGCTTGTTTTTGTTCCCTCTTTTGGACATTTTACATATTATCAAGGCCTCATGGGGACCATAGGTTTATCTGTGTGAGGCAAAACTTACTTTCTGATCTCCTGGTTAATGTCAGGGGTAAGATGTGAATTGTGGTTCCGTTAAGGTTAGAATTAGGCATGAATTGATCATTTCAAAGTCCTTAGAGAAATAGCTGTGCAAAGCTGTGTGTGTGAGTGTGATTACGTGTGTGTGCACGCGTGTGAAAATTATATGTGTATGTCTTCTTTGGTACTCATGGCATATGTAGGTCATGATAGTGAATATATTATTTATATATATATACACTGTTTTACACACTTGCACATGCTTGTGCACACACACACACACACACACATACACAGTCAGTCTTCCAAGTGTGCTTTGTGTTGTAGCTCATGCTCTTTGTATGAATGCCTTTTTACTTCTCTAATGATGTGTTTGTTCTATTTTCCATAATCTGCTCTGATAGGACAGCTACATTACCCATTTCTTGACTGGACTAATCCAGTTTCATGGTGTGTGTGTGTGGAGGAGGGGCTCCAGGTCAGCAGGACAGTATAAAGTAGACCGAGATAGCAGTAACTGCCGGATGACTTGGAAGACTTCCTAGGTTGTTCCACTGGTAATTTATGTGACTCAGTTTGTGTTTGACCGTACTGTAACTTTACAGCGATGCTTTTCTGGAGAGTCATACACTGGCAAAGCTCATATTAAAGTGATCATTTGCTTTTGCTGCTGTCAGGAGCTGGTCAGCGGGCCACCAGCACTTCTTATGGTCACAGATGTTTAGTTTTGTCTGTCTCCTGGAACACGTAACGCCCAAAAAACCCCACAGGTTCTTGTTTTATGCCTGGTCCACCATGGTGTTGCGATATTTTGGTGTCTGTGACTTTTCTATCACATCCATGTGAACACAGTATGAGCACGGTAAACCTGCACCAAAGCTACCCTATGAATTCTGATATGATTTTGATGTGCCTTGCTGCACAAACCTGAAACCTCTGTTAGCATTCCTGTTGACAAACCACTGGCACTATGAGTACGTGCTCTGATGTCATGGAGATCGTAAGGCAATCCTTTTGTTACACTTCAAACAAGTCAATACTACACGTGGCTGAGGGGTAGAGCCGTCATCCTCCGAGCAGAAGGTCAGCAGTTTGATCCCCAGTCAATGCCAAAGTGTCCTTGGGCAAGATGCTGAACCCCGAATTGCCCCTCATGGACAAAAAAGTGCTGCTAATAGATGCACTGTATGAATGTGTGTGTGAATGGGTGACTGGCAAACTGTAGTGTAAAGTGCTTGGAGAGGTCATTAAGACTAGTAAAGCACTATATAAATACAAACCACTAACATACTGATATTTGTACTCAGCTGAGGCTGATATAAGTGTCTTTAGTTTTGCAAATAGTTGGTCATGAATGACATTTTTGAACAAATTCAAATGTACACTTAATGATAGTGCTTTGTGGAAAGTAAAATGATCACCAAACGCTACCTACTGGGCACCAAACAGCAGCTGATGGACATAGTGGAGCATCCAGCAGCTACTGGGCCGTATGTTTCCTTCAGGAGTTGTGGATTGGATATTTGGATAAAATCAAGTGGACAACAATACAAGTGAATGCAACTGTGGCTCTTCATCTGCTGGATGTATATATTGTATAAGCAACTGTTTGCAATAATACCGGCTTAAAAGATGCTTTTAATTGTTGTGAACACAGTTTTGTTTCTGAGTCGTTGGTTGATACATCCATTATTATTGTAAGTGTAAGAGACCAAATTTGCAGATTCGCTATTCAACAACAGACATTGCTGTGTAGAAAAGTAAAAAATATATTTAAGGCATGTAAGAAATAGTCTGATTTGCACAGTATGAGAAGAGATTCATTTTAACTGTTACTAAGGAAAACATTTGGCATTTTGGCTTCCGCACACAAATGCCATGGAAAATTTGATCAAAGTCACGATGATGTGTTTGTGACTTTCACTAACAACTGTTGCTTTTGTATTGACTGTGTGTGCAAAATGTCTCTTTTGGGCAAATGTCCGTCACATGACCTGCAGCTACCACATCAGAATCACCTCATGGGATCGCTCACTGCTCCTGGGCTGTTTCCTTGTGCAAGCACAAAACAAAATGAAGCTGTTTTTGGTTCAGATGGTGGAGCACTGTGGCCTCACAGCAAGAATCCTGGTTCGGCCAGGATCTTTCCGACTTTGCATGTTCTCCATCTGTCTTTGTGCTTTCTTAGGGCACTCCAGCTTCCCCCCTCCTTCCAAAGACATGCAGATTGGGGTTAGGTTATTTGGAGATGTTGATTGAATGTGAGTGTGAATAGTTGTTTATCTCTGTATGTCTGCCCAGTGAAACACTGGTGACCTGTCCAGGGTGTGCCCTGTTTCTCGCTCAATGACAGCTGGGATTAGCTCCAGCCCCTCATTGACCCCCAAAGGATAAGTCGTACGGTGAAATTAAGGGATGGTTTAATAAAACAAATTTAAATCGTAATGGACGTCTCTGGCCTTTGTTACACTATCCAGGTGAGGACGAGGAGTTGGGACCTCCTCCTTCAGTGGACGAGGCGGCTGACGCTTTGATGACCAGGTTGGGCTTCCTGCTGGGGGACAAAATAATCAGTGGAGAGCCGGGGTCCCCTTACCATGCTCAGGACGATGCACAGGTGAACTCACTCACTTACTCACAGAGGCACACTTTCACACATGGTGTCTGAGGTGAAATCCAGCATATAATGATTTTTCAGTAGTTACTAGTACATGGACATGTTATTTTGCCCAAGTAAACTGTTATTTGTTTCTCCCCTTTCCATACTGTGTACTTCTTATAAATCTACAGTACTAATGGGCTACATTCTCAGATCTGAATCCAACTTTTTACAAAACACAAAGAACAATAGAATGTCTGTTATTATTTGTAAATAAAAATGGAATTGTTGGGGAGACAGAGATACGTCAGTCAATCGCATTTTCTAGTTTTGCCCACTTCTAAATATTTGTAAATATTTTGGTAATTAAAGACAACAATGAAATAACTGCAACTAAGTTGTGGTTAAAAAAGTCATGTTTATGCATAGAAATTAAAAACCATAGAACAAACTGCGTCTGTGGCATCACTTTTCATCCTGAGATATTTGCTTTCCATTTGTTTTTTTCATTTTTACGTTTGTCGCTTATAAAAACATCATTAAAGCACTCATTCTCTCGCGGTCAGTCCTGCAGATGATAACCTCCTGTTTTCTCACATCTGCTCCTCTGGATAATGTCTGCAGGACCTCTGGGGTTTAGTGCATGTCTGAAAGCAGCTGAGGACTGACCTTTAAACTATTACTTACATTTTTTAATAATTTTCTTTGTAGATTTGGTTTGTTTTTTATTGTCTCTTTCACTATTCACCTCATAAACATAAGAAAGTGAGGATACAGTCTGGTGTCTCTCCCACAGAGGATGTCTCCGTCCTCCAGTCTGGCCAGTAGCAGCACCTCCCCCTGCTCCACACTGCAGCCCCCTGCTGGAGGAGAATGCAACAGCGACAACAAGCATGTCTCCTCCAACCATGCCTCTGTCACTTCCCCCACCTCAACACTGGAAAGCAGAGACAGTGGCATCATAGGTGAGATACTGTGGACACAATTTAAAAAAAAGTTAGAGTTAGTCATTTATACTGCTAAACGATTCACTTTTTTCTGTCTTCCCCTTCTTAAAGCCACGTTGACCAGCTATTCTGCAGAGTCAGCAGCAGAGCAGGACAACAGCACCAAATACCCTGGAGATGGTTACCATGGGAGCAGCCTCCACCTCTGGCAGCAAGGTGGCCGGCCGGTGGTGGTCTCCACCTCCTCGTCCTGTATGGTGGCAGCGGAAAGTGTTAACGGCCGCTTTCTGTACAGGGCAGACGACAACATGGCCGCCTCCACTTACAGCCTCAACAAACTCCACCCAGACCGAGGCTCTGTCGCTGCACGCTCTTTGGGCTCCACCCACTCCATACCTGTCTACCTCATGCCCCGTCCCAATTCAGTTGCTGGTAAATTGGATGATGTCTTTTAGCATGTTTTGATGTGTGCGTGTGTGTTTTGTGTGTGTGAGAATCAAGTGGTTTCTGCCCATCACACCCAATTGTGAGCATCAAACAAAGCCTTCTTTATGAAATCTTCCATAATAATTGTGTTTCCACTCTGGGTTTAAAACAGGACGCCTCACACATTAGTTACAACACTAAGTGTACTCAACTTTTATTTAACCGTCTTCCTGATTATGATTGATCCTGTCTTGATGGCTTACATTCTTTTTCCACCACTGCAGTTCGGGATAACACCATAACAACATTATGAATGTTGAATCTTTTTAGACTCGGTGAGATTATGATTCAGAGCTTGTTTCTGCTGTACTGCAAGTGCAAGGGTGATATTAGTGTATCACAGATAAATTAGAGTGAACATATGTTTATTTCAATCATGCAGTTTTAATTAGCTTCCAGATTTACATCACATTGAACTGCTTATACATAGTAGTTTGCTCTCCTTGAAACAAATTAGCACAAATGTGAGTTTATTTTGTAGATTTATCCTAAACTTAAATGAATAATGTGGTTAGCGTGGCTCGGCACTGAGACTGGAAGCAGGGGCAAAATAAAACACAAAATTCTACCAGCAGCACTGAAGCTTCCTAAGTAGCACGTGTTTAATCTGTACAAAGACCATGTCTCATGTCGTTTGACATGTGTAGATACAAAACAGCTATTCGCATCACATCCTCCCTTCTTTCGTTTCCTTTTCTCTGTGCCTCATAAAAACTGAAAACCATGGGTACTTTGGGAAAGGAAGGATGTGACGTTTCTCAAAACACACACATACAGCACATACACACAGGATATGAGGCACAGCCAACACTGACATGTTCTGTGGGTCTGTAAATGGATTAACTGGATCGAGCTCTCGGTAGGTTTCCGTCTTGTATTATGTGGAGCCGAGACAGTTCCATTCATCGTCGCTTTGTTTGCTTTCAAATCAGCTTTATAGCAGTGGGAGTGGTAGTCAGACGATGCAGTAACTTGGAAGAAAAGAACACAATTATTTACCGTCTTTAATAATTTTCACTTTCAGTCTAAATGACTTATTTATTTCAGTAGGGTTTTTTTGAAATACTGGGTTATGTTTTTGGTTGTAGTGTGTTGTCTTGTGTTCATGCAGTGGCTCGTTCAGCCCTAAGATGTACATGTAGGCACCATGTCACTGCGAGCAGCAACAACAGGAAGTCATCACTTCCACTCAACTATCCAGCTAATAATTTAGCTACTACTCAGCGTTTGCAGCACAGGGAAAAGAATTGTAAAACCTCTGATTGGATTCTTCATGTAAAATTTCTGTGATGAGAACTGAGATCCCAGGATTTCCCAGGAGTTCTCTACTGCTTCAATTTGACTGGAAAAACAAGTTTGCAAGATTGTCTGTAATAATGCATCATGATCATCTTGATTCAGTTTGCCTATAGCGCCATCAGAGGGATCAGACAATTGGCAGTGTGTTTTCCCCCATCAGAGACAGTGTACCCTATGGAATAAAACATTAGACTTACATTAGAAGTATAATCAACATCATTATTTCTAACAATTCTGTGGTGAATTGTCATATATGATGAGAAATGAGTAAAATATATATTTCTAGGAAACAATCATTAATAAATCCTTTAACCTTTTCTCAACTTTCTTTTTAATCCTTTCCGTCTGTAGCCACTAGTTCTGCCCACCTTGAGGATCTGGCGTATCTGGATGAGCAGCAGAGACACATCCCTTCAAGGACATCCCTCAGAATGCCCAGACAGAATTCTGGGAGTCGTAGTCAACAGGACCACAGAGGTAAACACAAACACACACACATATATACACTAATTTCTACAAGCAGTATTATTAGTAATACTCTGCTCATACTCTCTTCTCCTGCAGTTTGTTTCACTCCCTCTCTCAACCTGAAGCCCCTGCACTTTGAGGTTCCCGGTCTCTCATCTGATTGGCTGTTCACTGGCAGGGAGTGGCTCTTTCAGGAAGTGGATGCCTGTCTCTGCAGCGATGACCCGTCAACCAGTCAGGGCGTGGTGATCGTCGGCAACATGGGCTTCGGCAAAACAGCCATCATTGCCCGACTGGTGGCGCTCAGTTGTCATGGAAACCGAATGTGGCATACTGCTGCTCGGAGCCAGAGCACTCCAAAGCGTAAGCAGCAGAGACATCTATAATATTAGTGAGACAATGATTAATGATAAAAACATGTATATGACCTCAGTTCTTTGGCAGAATGAGGCCAAAAGCAATTCTGATTTAATTTTGCCCATGACATTCTTCTTCTCCTCTTTTGCCATCACTTTAAACTTTTTTACAATTACAATTTGTTTTATTGTCACATAGTTGAAAATATTACTGCGTGTCTGTCAGTAAAAGCAACATCTCACGAAGTTGAAGGGGATTTTGCAGGATTTTGGCTGGAGTCCAAATGAGAGGCTTTCCAGCAGTGCCCCAGTGAGTAATTACAGTCGTGAGGAGAATCTTATTCACCTTGTGAATAAGAACCAGCTGAGTCATCATGCAGAACCACCAGACACATGGCTGAGTCAACCTTCCAGAAAACATCTGCCAGAGAGAAAGGCAGTTGTATTCACTGTACATCCTTACTGACATTTAAAGTGATGAAAATGTTTCCATGCACCCTCAATCCAGATGTAGCACCTGTTTCTCTCTCCAACGATTCCCTGGGAAGAGGAGGAGGAAGAGGAGATGAAGGAGGAGGAGGAGGAAGCTGTCCAGGAACTCCAGAGATGAGGAGGAGACAGGAGGAAGCCCTGAGGAAGCTTGCAGGACAGGTCATATTTCCACTTTACTCACTGTTGGTCAACTTTAGAACCTGAAGATTTACTAGAAAGCTGTCATCGAAAGTTAAAAAGAGAATTCAGTCCGTCTACTTAGCTGCACAATACTCTAAATGTGTTATCATAATGTTTGTGGGTTGTCTTCATGTTATTGTGACGGCGATATATTAGAAATGCCCAAAGGGAATTTCATCACATCTGACACAAACATTTGCTTGGACTCAAGAATCGTTTCACATTTGGCGGAAACACCGACTTGCACTTGGATTTTATTTTGGCAGCCAAATGTCAAAGGTCAAGTTCACAGTGGCCTCACAGTGTGTTCATGTTTGGTTTTCTTGAACTCGATATCTTGAGATCAGCTTGAGACACTGACTTATATGAATGTGGAAAAAAGTATGTAGCAATATGTAGACAGAGACTGAACTGGTTGGTGGAGACATACAATTGCAGTGCGGTAATTCTAGTTTTATGATGTTGTCTCAAAAAAATTATTGTAAATTACTACAATAACAGTTAGTAGGTGTCTTGGATTTATTGCTTTAGTGTACGCTGAGATTCATATGAATCTAACTTGGCTTGAATGCAATTGATGCAACTGTCGCACTGTTCTGTTTGAGATTCATACTCAGATCCATGATACATCACTGAAATATAAACAGTTGGTTGCTTTGGGAAATATTCTTACTAACTTTCTTACTGAGAGTTACATGAGAAGATTGATGCGATTGTCATGACTGTAAAGTTGGCCAACAGCTGGTTAGCTTAGCTTAAAGACTGGAGACAGGGGAATACAGATAGCCTGGCTCTGTCCTCTGAAGCACACTAATTAATATGTGAGCGTTTTATTTTAAAAACATCCAAAAATGAACTTGACATTATCAGTAGTATGTGAAGAGCCAACGGTTTTGTCATAATGTGACAGACGTAAGATGTATTTTGTTGCAAAGATATCCAGTCCACCCCATCTCTTTGTACCTCAAGAGGCGATTGTGAGTCTCTCTCTCTCTCTCTCTCTCTCTCTCTCTCTCTCTCTCTCTGACGTCTCTGACTCGCTTCAGTTTAAATGTTGATGTGTTTGTTGCCACAATATCAAAACTGATCATCACATAATAATCAAGACTTTAAATCTTTCTTCGTGTGCATTCATCAGCCGCCCTGCTCCTTCTTTTCCTTTCTATTGCTATTGCTGAGCCCTAGTTGTTCTAGTTGCTCTCCGATTTCTCAACCTCTCATGGCTCATCTTCTACTACTTCTACCCCTTCCCTCTCTCTGTGACTGGGCAGAGTTGGTATGAAATGATCACAGGTCTCGTCATCAGATTTCAAGGTAAACCTGTGTGGATACAAATATTCCCCCAATCGCTGCAGGTGTGGCAGCAATTACCCTATGTTGAGGTTAGATTTATGTAAACTAATTTTAGTTCAACATGCGGGTGAGATTGAAACCTGGTGGTGATTTGTCAATGTGCCCTGTCCTGGAACACAGAGGGGGCTGATCAGACTGATCATAGCACAGAGGAAAGACCAGGAGGAGGAGGGATCCTAGGGGTGGACTAATGACTGCACATAAAGATGGACCACAACATCATTTTTACATTTTGGTTTATGCTCAAATTATTTGAATAAGACATACAGTATTATTTAGTGAGCTCTGTAAATGCTGATAGGCAGAATATGTTCCCTTTGCATAGCGTCTCTACCTGATTCCAGTCTTTATGCTAAGTTTCCTGCCGCTGGCTCTGAGTATGATTACTGTGCAGACAAGAGAGCAGGATCAACTTTCTCTTTTACTCTCTGTAAGAAAGCAAATCTATTTTACAAAATGTTTTTCTTTAACTGACACCTCAGTGGCGAGAAAAGAATTCCAAACAAACGGTCCAAAAACCCATCCATAATTCAAACATTTCCTGTGCTCTGTTTTTGCAGGTAGTCTCATATCATTTCTGTCAGGCTGACAACTGTTACACTTGTCTGGTTCCGGAGTTCGTCCACAACATGGCGGCAATGCTGAGTCATGCACCTCAACTGCTGGCCTATCAGGAGCTACTGCACCGGTCGCCACAGCTACAGAGCACGCTCAGTCTACGCTCCTGCATCCAGGATCCGAGCTCTGCCCTCCAGAGAGGAATACTGGAGCCGCTGGATGCTCTCTACAGAGGTGCACACAGATTCTACTGTATTCTGCTAACTCCTGTCCTGTTAAACCAGGGACTGTATATTTAATCTGTGCTGGTCAACATTGTTTTCTTCAGAGAGGAAATTGCACGTGGAAGGGGCGGGCCTTATTGTATTGATTGATGGGTTAAACGAGGCAGAGTTCCACCGGCCAGACTACGGCAACACACTGACTTCCTTCCTGTCCCAAAACGTCCCAAAATTTCCTCCCTGGTTGAAGATCATCACCACTGTCAGGACAAGCCAACAGGTATTCACACGCACACGCGCACACACACAGCTCTTAAACCTTTTTGATTCAGCTGTTGAAAGTCATGTTTGTATTTTCTTTCTAATTGAATGTTCATCCCAGAAGCCTCTATAATTAACAAAGTCCCTTCCAAGAACCAAACACAAATCAATCAGCAACAGTGTTAGAAATTGATTAAACTATTTGTTTGCTCTAACTTGAGTTATAAATGTTAGCTTTACTTGCTCACTACGTCTGGTAGCAAAATGTAGCAAGCCAAAAAGCTCATATGTTGAACTAGAACTAGTACGGTTATTATTTCAACACTGTATGAGGCTGGATTTAGATGCTAAGCTACACGTTACACTAATTACATCAACCCCAGAAGACAGGTGCGGGGATACTTTTACATTAAAACTTTGACAACCATTAATGATAACGTTGGTTATGTAGCGATAGTGAAACCTTTCATAAAGCACATTTAAGCTTGAAATGACACCTGACCCACTAATATGCCAACACTGATAGGGAGTGACTTTGCTGACAATTTTGTTTTAAACTAAATCTATTTCTCTGTCTCTTTATTCCTTTAGGACATCACTTCTTCTCTACCTTTTCATCGCATCTCTCTGGACAAGATAGAGGAGAGCAATGCTATAGACCAGGACCTGCAGGTAAAATGCACATAAGCTGTCTGAGTGTCTGCCTGTCTTTCTACCCGTCTATCTGGTCCTCCTTATGCCTGTCGGTTTTTTATTAGGGTTACCTGATGCAGCGGATCCACAGCAGCAGCGAGATCCAGAGCAACGTGTCACTGAGCAATGGCCGTTTTGACAACGCTGCTCTCAGCAAACTGATCAGCCACCTGAAGAGCCTGAGCAGAGGCTCGTACCTCTACTTGAAACTGACACTGGACCTGATAGAGGGAGGATACCTGGTCCTGAAGAGCTCCAGCTTCAAAGTGAGTGAGAGATTGGGAAAGAGGGGGGAAACTGGAACATAGTCGAGGTTCGTGATAGAAGAGATAAAGATGATTTACTACTCATTTGATACTTCAGTTATTCATGTACAGCATTATACTGACTGAATTATTTGTTTGATGAGTTATTCAATTCGACAAATAGTTAATGAACACATGTGCCTGTGTTGGTAGGTTGTTCCTGTCAGTCTAGCAGAGGTCTACCTGCTGCAGCTCAACATGCGCTTTCCCACCCAGTCGTCTTTTCAGAGAGTTCTGCCGTTGCTTAACATCACCGTGGCATCACTGCACCCACTGACCGACAAGCAGGTACACACCATCGCTGTGTGTGTGTGTGTGTGTGTGTGTGTGTGTGTGGCAGAGGCAGCCGGTGAACCTGGTTGTGTTCATCTGGTTGTGTTCATTCAGCATTATATGGACAGCCAGTCTGGCATGTCAGCACAAAACCTGGCTATGTTATGTGCCCTGAGCAGGACACTCATTTTTTGCTTGCCATTATGACAATCACTTCAATACAAACTTGAAATATGACTGTTCCTACCCCTGTTCTCCTTCAGCTGTTTGAGGTAGTGAATGCTGCTGCCCTGAATGGAGGAACGCTGCAGTGGGACGAGTTCTTGCAGCGGCTGGAGCAGCTCTCGCCGTTTCTCCTGAGGCGGAGCGATGGCAGCTGGATGCTGAACCACGCCTCGTTTAGAGAGTGGCTGGTTTGGAGGGAGGAGGGGCAGGACGACAGGTTCCTCTGTGACCCCAGGAGTGGTCACACTCTCTTGGCCTTCTGGCTCTGCAGACAAGAAGGGAAGTTGAATCGACAGCAAACTCTGGAGCTGGGACATCACATCCTGAAGGCTCATATCTACAAGGTTAGTGTGCACAAATGCACGTAGGACCATTGAAAAGACATTCCTCTTCTCGACAGTTTAAATTGGTTCCACGTCTGTGCAGCTGTTCCGTCGTATGTTAGTCAAAATCATCTGTTGACTCTCTCTAAACTGTTAGTCATCATTCTTGTGTTTGTGGTAAAAGGTTAGTGATGTTTTGAGTCTGTTGTCTGTGTTTAGGGAGTTTCTGTGTTTTTCTTATTGTCTCAGACTTCATATTTGCCCTTGCAACAGAAAAACCTGCTTTTTGAGTACTTTGATAAGTCAAGATTTGTCTTGACTTATCAAAGTTCCAATCCTGTTCAGAAGTACCCTGTTCAGTGTCAAGCTCAAAGTTGTCCATGTTTGTTTGTGTTGTTTTTATAAAAATTCCCTGCCTGTATCTGTGACCTGTTGAAGACTTAAAACTTCATCCAAATGATAAAAGCTATCAACGTAAAGAGTGACGTCAAAAAAGAGAGTAAAATGAAATAAGAATTGCAACCAGTAGCTTGCATACCTCCGACTTTGCCCAACAGTCTCCTTAAGTAACCAGATTTAAATTCACTAGATCTGGATTATTATTTGGATCTGCATTCCCTCATGAATATCAGCCCCCTAAACATGCCTGATTTTTTATTATCAAGATCCATGAATGAGTCTCTGAGAAAATCAATGGAAGTGTTGAAATCTCGAAATGGATCTGCAATAAAATTGAATGGTGTCTTTCCTGACCCACACTGCATTCTTCCACCAAGTTTGGTGGTTATCCATCATAATCGTGTGTTATCCTGCTAGCTAACACAGAAAACGCAGATGACAACAGAACCCTGGCCTTACTCTGAAGAGGAACATGTTTCTGGATGGTGTAGAGGCAACACAACCTTAACACTAAAATCTAAAATTTCAAGCCAGAGACAAATGTGGCAGATAACAATAGAAACAAATACTTAAGAAAAAAATGTATAAGGCGTCATAATTCTGCTGTATCTCAAGTCATAAATGGTAACATTATACTATAAATGATATCATACCGTAGCATTAACACACAGCAAGCAGGCACGCAAGAATGAGCCCTACCTGATTCACATCCAGCCGGTGGCGTCACACTATTTACTTAACTGATCTACAGCTGGAATAAAATGCCAACAAAGGCTATATACCATAAAAGCTGGCCTTGTAGGAAATGTTTAATCACACATTTGGTAAACCTCCTCTGCACACCCAGAACATTTTGATGGGAAACACTGTAAACATAATTTCTGATTGTTTACAACAAAACACTGCAGGGCACCTCAAATGGAAGAGAGCACACTGTGGATGACCTCATTTAAATTTTAATTGTACATTTGTTTTAAAAGTATTTAAATTGCTCTTGATGACATACTCACCAATTTGATGGCGACAAATATAAATGGTTCTGAGACGTCAGTTCTCAGGGCAGCTTCTTCCTTCAGTTACTACTTGTAAAGTGCTCACCCATGGATGCAGTGTTGTTCTGTTCTTTTGAAACGAAAGTTCCAAGACATCAGCTATCCAACTGATCAAATTTATGAAAATATCAGTTGCAATAAAAAACAAAAATGTTTCCAACAATGCCTGAAATGTGATAAAGAGGACATAACATACTTTAATTAAAGGTGAAGTGTGTAGAATTTAGTGATATCTAGTGTTGAAGTTGCATGTTGCAGCTGAACACCTCTCACCTCACCCTCACCCTCACCTCACCCTCTCCTTCCAAACATGAAAAAGAACCTGTGGTAGCTTCAGTTGTCATAAAAACTCAAAAGGTGTTTAGTTTGTCCAGTCTGGACTAATGTAAAAAACATGGCGTCCTCCATCGAGAGGGTCCTCTCAATGTAAATATAAAGCATTTAAATATAAAGGATCCTTTCTGGGGTAAAGAAAACTACAATTCATGAAACGAACTAAAACATCATGAGGATTATTCTACATTAAATCTATGCCAATAGTTCCCTTTCAGCTAAATCTTACACACTGGGCCTTTAATTGTTGTGTTCTGTTTTATGAGCTTATCATATGCTTTTAATCTGGTATTTAACTATAGCTGTAGACAACTGTAGTACAGTAAGAGTAAGTAATACTGTCTAAAATGTGGTAAGTATGGTTTTGAAGGATATCATTAAGCTGAAATACCAAATTAGGTTTCTCAATATTGTATCACTAAGCACTTCAGTCAATCAAGTCATCTGTTCCTCATTCTATCACTGGCTATGAGAATTTTAAGGTCAGGAAAACTCCAAACTGTCAAAGCGATGCACTGGTCAAGACAGCACCATTAAAACAGTGTCTAAAGTGTTCTCCATGCTTCAACCTGAATGTCTCTCTGGCTCTATTCTGTCTCCAGGGTCTTAGTAAGAAGCTTGGGATTTCCTCCTCAGTTCTGCAGGGGCTGTGGCTGTCCTACAGCACAGACAACCTGAGCCCTGCTCTCTCATCTCTGCGCAACCTCTACACCCCTAACATCAAGGTAACACACACACACACACAGACACCAACACACACACAGACAGTTGTGTTTTCGTGACTTCAGAGGACATTACTTTGACTTACATTGATTTCCTTTTAAAGACTGTGCAAAGCAATTCGAAGCATATTTTCCTCATACCACAGAGCAATGTGTTATCAACCTGGTATATTTGATTGCTTCAAATAATCACCAAGTATATAAAAGTAGGGTTCTATATATTTGAACAAAATGATCAGTATTGTGCTGACGTAATAAGACAACATAAAAAAACATGTCTCTATACTACTCGTGTGGTTTCTGATGGTGTCTGCAATCCCCGTCATTCGTATAGACTCAAAACGGCGTAATTTACACCACCAACTGTCCTCTGATAGCTTCCTCTGAGGCACGTTCACGTATGCAGAGACACTCCGGAAAACTGCACACACTCTCTTTATAATGACGATGTGCAGTCCACTTTACAGACTCTCCTAAAAATCAGGGCCCAAGGAATGCTGTAAAAACTGTCATTCTTCAGAATTTAGTACTCTATAGTTCCCATTCTCTCACATGTTTTCAATAATACTGACAGACATGTATAGCATGTAAAGAGAAAAATTACTGACTTTGCTTTACACTGTTGTAAAGGATAGACTTACTCTAATCTTAACCATAGTTACCACTTGCCTAACCCATACCCTTACATAACCTAAAGCAAACCTTAACCTAATATAAAAATATTCTTCACCTTAAAATGTCCTGATTTATGTAATGGGGACTTCCCCGTAATGCAACATATTTAGGTCCCCACAACATGTGGAAACAGAAACAGAAACACACAAATGCATGTGTTGCTGCTCTTTCTACCTGTCCAGGTGAGCAGGTTGCTAATCATGGGTGGAGCTGATGTGGATTACCATAGTGACGTCCTTAACAACGCCCCTCTGTTGTGTGTGTACTCCCACCTGGGCCACAAGGATGCCGTGGCACTGCTGCTTGATCACGGAGCTCAGGTATAAAATTGTAGTTTTTCTTATGTTGTTGAGTTTTGTGGTTTCTTAGAACTAAATAGATAATTAAGAAACGTGATAGAACTTTTCAATTTCAAACTTGTGGCCTCTGTGATGTATTTCTAGGTGGATTCTCAGTCACATGATGGTTTGACTGCACTGGGATTTGCTGCTGCTGCTGGACATATGGACATTGTCATCATGCTGAGTCAGCACAGAGCTAAGGTATATTCTACCTGTTGGCCCACCACATTTTCTTTTGTAACATCACAGGCTGTCTGTTTGAATTACTTTATATCAGACTGGCATTTGTTTACAGTGTGTAGTGTAAGTGGAAATATTCAGCCATGGCGTTGACTGCTTATTTCACTGTAATTGTCTTTGATTATATAAAAGGCACGAGAGAGATTTAAATATGTTGAACAACTTAATTTTTATTGGGGGTGACTCTAAACCTACAATGTGCGGATGTACTTTTGTGGGATATTTCACCCAAAAATGATAATTCACTCATTATCTACCCACCCCTATACCGATGAAGGGATCGGTGAAGTGTTTGAGTCCACAAAGCACCTCTGGAGTTTCGGGGTAAACAGTGTAGCAGCCGAATCCAATACAACAGAAAATAAACAAAGCATGTCTCCGTACTGCTCATGTGGTGTCATCCAAGTGTCTTCAAGCCCTGACATTCATATTCGACTTGAAACCGCATAATTTTTTTTAATTTAAAGGCCTAAATATCCGCTGATAGTTTCCGACGAGGTGCATGCAGGGACTATCGGAAATGCTAATGTCCGCTAGCTTAGTCACTACTGGTGGACTTTTAGGATTAAAACACAGTGGAAATGACCTGGTTTCCAGTCAAATATGACTGTCGGCACTCGTGGACAATTGGATCACACCACACTAAAGGTTGTTTTTTTAGTATGAAGACTATCTTCAGTTGTAAACTCTGAAACTCCAGAAATGTTTTGTAGACTGAAACACTTTATCCACCCCTCCATCAGCATTGGAGTGAGTAGATAATGAGTGAAAAATCATTTTTGGGTGAACTATCCCTTTAAGAATGACACTGGTAGAGTGCAAATCCCACATAGGATCTGGGAGCATGGCATTTGTCAAACATATACACCATACCAATAACCTCCAGGATGGTATTATTTTTCTATAAAATAAAATAATATTCCATCAGACTTCTATGAAAGACACTGGGATCAAATTGGAAGTTCTACAAATGGATCTATGCTTCAGCCAAAATTCTTACTGGTTGCGTCTGAGGCACCATCCTCAACTTTTTAACTTTGATTCAGGAGATTATTTCCAAATTTAGGTCACTCCGTCAAGCTCTACTACTTCATCACTGTCTGCCTTCATGCCTGGTCATTTCTCTCAGTTGGAAACCTTCCTAAGCAAAAAGACTATTTTACACAAGCCTTTGTCTCCCTGTGTGTTCAGGTGGGTCATGTGGACAGCTCAGGTCAGTGTGTGTTGGTACACGCTGCTCAGCGAGGCCACCTCAAGGTGCTGCACTTCCTGTTGAAGTGTGCAGATTGGAGCTGCACTTCCAGCTGTGGCCAGCGAGAGGCGAGCAAGAGCCAGGCAGTGCAGCAAGCTCTGATTGCAGCAGCCAGCATGGGCCACACAGAGGTCAAATACACACACACACACACACACACACACACACACACACACACACAAACACTTACTTAAACAGCCCTTGGAAAGTGTGTCAGTAACTGTGCCACACAGAAGTCAAACACATGCACACATGCATTAAAACATGCCCTTGAACAGTCCTTTGTGTCATTAACTGAGGACCTCCCTAAATGTCATCACTTCACAAGACCTATTAGTCACTGAAACTGGTCCTCAGAAAGATAGTAATGATGTGTGTGGCTCATATATTCATGTAAGTATATGAATATATAAGTTAGTAAAATTTAAAAAGAAGGAGACATACGCTCAACATTTCTACAACAATAATCCAAATAAACCTGCTAATTCTTTCTCTGTGTGTGTGTGTGTGTGTGTGTGTGTAGATGGTGTCATATCTACTAGATCTTCCAGAGGAAGATGAGGAAGAGGAAGAGAGACCTGAGATTAACACATCTGACACTCTGTGGGGAGAAACAGGTACAAAACCACTACAAATGCAACTGTACAATAAATGCATGTTTTTCACTGCACACTACTATTTATTTTGTATAGTATAACAAAATATGTATACAAATCTGCAAATACTATAGTTTAAATCTGCACTTTTTGGACATAGAGGGACTTGTGCTTTCTCTTCTCTTTCTCCAATTGCAAACATATGCACCATCTTTGCAGGGCAGCACTGTTTGTTGAGCCATATTGAAAATAAAATTCTGATAATATAATACATATAATATAATACAATAATAAAGAAAAATTTGTTTTAAGGAATTTTTAAAAAAAAAACAGCAGGGAGAACCTGTGTTGGCCCGAGTTCCACTTCCTCTAGATCCAACATCTGCATCAAAACTACGAAATATTGTGAAGTGTTTGAGTCCTCAAAACCCTTTTGGAGTCTCAGGGGTAAACAGTGTTGCAGCCAAATCCAATACAATTAAAGTAAATGGAATCCCTTCTGGGGGCTTGCAGACACTTGGATGACACGAGCAGTATGGAGGCATGTTTTTTTTCTGTTGTATTATTATGTCTGAAGAAGAGGTTGCCTGGGCTAAACACTGTTTACCCATGAAACTCCAAAAGTGTTTTGTGGACACTTAACCCACCCCTCCATCAGTATAGTGAGGAGTAGATAATGAGTGAACGAAAAAAATGTTGGTTCACTATCCCTTTAATATCACATAGATGTAACCAACGACACCATCACAGTTGACCTCTACCAAACATGTCCTCTTCAAAAAAGAGACGATTTCCTTCAAGTCTGGTTTGATCTCCACAATAGACAGTTTCTTGCACAATCTCTTCAAGTCCTGATACTTGGTAGTGTGGTGCTGAAGAGCCAAAACAAACAAGTTAGAAACACAAGTCTTCGTATTTCCCCACGTCTCTGTTTTCAGCTCTAACAGCAGCAGCAGGAAGTGGCAGGCTGCCTGTGTGCAGGCTGTTGTTGGATCAGGGTGCTGCTGCTGAGCAAAGCAACCGGCGAGGTGTGGCTCCGCTCTTCAGTGCCGTGAGACATGGCCACTGGCAGGTATGCCCCCCCACACACACTCACAGAATTAGCGCTATTTTGATTCCAGCTGTAGAAATGTTGAGTGTCTGTCTCCCTCTGTCTCATGGCCAGGTGGTGGAATTGCTACTGAATCATGGGGTGGAGGTGAACATGATTGACCAGCAGGGTCGGACAGCTCTAATGACGGCAGCCTCGGAGGGACATATGCCGTCCGCACTGCTGCTGCTGGAACATGGTAACCCACTGCACCATACCATAACAACAACGAAGGCTCCAAAAGGAAAATCCTTTTTTATTTTCACACAAGAAATCAAAAGCCTGGACACATGTGCTATGAATAACTGGATTAATTCACACAGTTTAATCAGTGAGCGGTCGAATCCTGGTGCAGTCGTCTGACCTCAACATTATCTCTGAACATGATGTTCACTGAGATGAATCCCTCTGTCTCTCTCTGTTTCTAGGAGCATCTCTGGACCAGAGCGACAGGGAGGGGTTGACAGCACTGAGCTGGGCATGTCTCAAAGGCCAGCACCCCTTGGTCAGAGAGCTGGTGGAGAGAGGCGCAGCCACAACTCATGTTGACCGCAGTGGACGGACGCCTCTGGACCTCGCCGCCTTCCGTGGTGACCCAGAAGTGGTGTGTGAACCAGAAGCAGTGGCCATTATACCTGCCATTCTTTTGAGAAGTGTGGCGGTCCATGTTTTACCTGTCCTGCAAAAGACAATTTTGCTAAGCAATACCTCTGTGCTACCTCTCCTGTGTTAGGTGCAGTACCTGGTGGATCATGGTGCACTGGTGGAGCATGTGGATTGCAGTGGGATGCGTCCTCTTGACCGAGCGGTCGGCTGCAGAAACACTTCGGCTGTCATCGCTCTGCTCAAAAAGGGAGCAAAGATAGGTAGAGACATGACTCAGTATTCATGATCCCTTTGACTCCTACTTGGCCGTATCAATTTAACCCCACACAGGTGTTAGAAACTTAAAATATGAGCAATTAGAAGTTAATAAATGCTACTGTAATGTTTTAAATACCTCCCCCTATTTTTTATTATTAATGCACCTTATGTCAAATAAAAGCAGCTTAAAATTAATCTAAAATAGAATAGAATAAATTATATGCCAGTTAAATATTAGATATGACTGGTATTTCAAAAGGAGAAAACATTGACACATTTCCAACAATCAATGTCTTTCTGCTGCAAACCCACGTAAAATATGGATAATCATCATAGCATGTCCTGATGTGATGGGTTTCAGATATCCTAGTGACTACGTTGACCTTCAGTGGTTGGATGCTGTAATGACAGTTGTTGAAACCAGGAAGTGAACATAATAGCTGTGAATCAAATTATTGAAATATATACATCACATCTAAATTTTGATTTGCATTGTTGACGTTGCAGTAGCTACAGTTGAAATCAGGAAGGAAAATAACTACTTATTTATTTTCATTAAACTGCCAAACATTTTTGATAGGTCAAAACATTTTCATCTGCAATTGAATTGTTAAATACAATTTAAAAACAAATTTCACAGGCTAGACACTATACCACTGTCACAAAATAAATGACATGTTACAAACCACCAGTCAGTTTACACAAACAGTTTTTCCTGCCAACCTTTTCACAGAGGGGAAAAAAACAAAATTAACTGAATTGTGTTTTCAATAAAAGTTTTTGGAAAATGTACATAAAATGTAGAGTACTTGCTAGCATTATAGTCTGTGTGTGTTTGTGTGTGTAGGACCAGCAACCTGGGCCATGGCAACATCTAAACCAGACATCCTAATGGTTCTGCTCACTAAACTGATTCAGGAAGGAGACAAACTGTACAAGGTAAAACACACAAGCACATGCAAACTTAAACACACATACGTTTATTTGAAACTGTTTGTAAAACATGCTGTAAATATAATTTAATGATTCAGAAGTACACTTCTGTGTGTTAATTTGTAGCAAGGTAAAGTGCGAGAAGCTGCTCACTCCTATCAGTCAGCACTTCAGAAGTTTCCAGGAGACGAGCTGAAGACATTCAGACAGCTGAGAGTGTGTGTGCTGCTCAACCTGTCACGGTGCCACCGTAAGAAGAATGTGGGTCTTTTTATATCTCTCTACAACACACACACACACAAACACGGGTGCGCATTGTAGGAAAACACATCACAACATCTTTCGTAATCCATTGTCTAAATATCTCATAGTTTAATTCTACCACATGACAGGTTTAGTTTAATGCCATGAAAGATTTGTTTTTGTTTTTAAAATCCCTCTTAACTTCCTCCATTGTAAATTGAGTACCCTTTTCTTATTTCAGGATTTTGACCTTGCTGAGGAGTTCGCTACCAAAGCACTAGAACTAAAAGCACAATCCTACGAGGCCTTTTATGCCAGAGCCCGGGCCAAACGCAGCCGCAGGTAATTATAGCAGCATAATTACATAATTACACAAGTTGTGAACTGACCCTAACCAAATCATGAACTGTTAAATGTGATGATGATTAAATTGGTTCAAAGCCAAATACTCACATAAAGAACAAATTTAACATAACAATTAGAAAATGTTACATGTATGTGTTTATCTAATTGGTGAGTCAATGTTCTGCCAAAAATCTGTTTTTATTTGTATAGCGCCAAATCATAATATACATTACCTCAAGGCACTTTACATTGTGAAGTGGAGACCTTAAATATGATAGAGAAACCCAACAGTTCCCACAATAAGCAGCACTTTGGACTGCTGAGAGAATGATAAAAACCTCTAGCAGAACCAGAAAGAGAAGCAGCAGCATTCTTTCTATCACACAGCATACTTACACTTCCAGCACAGCTGTCAGGTGAAATTTGGGGTGCCGAATCTTTCCCAAGGAAATTTTGGCATGCAAACTGGAGGAGACGGATCAAACCACAAACCTTCTGGTCAGTAGATGACCCAGTCTACCTCCTGAACTACAAGACCACATGCATCACACCAACAAGCAGATATTAACAAATGATTTGTGATTGTGGGAGGGTTCACAGACTTTGTTTTACTAATTTATCAGGAAATTAAAGATGAGCCTACTTGTGATGTCCAAACTTACACAATGTTCTCCCTTTTCCTCTCTCCTGAGCGAGGGATGGACCACTGACATCCTAACTGGCCACAAATACCAAGTGTCTCACGTACAAATACCAAACCAATTCTAAATTGCTGTATTTTAGCTAGACTTACGTACCTTAGCATAGCCAGTTCCAAGGTGTTGCCATGGAAAGGCTTCAGACTAAAGGGGGCTGATAAATTTGCAGAGAATCTATGTGCTGACAGGGAAAGGCTCATATATTTAACTTTCCTCTTTGTAATACTCTAGCTTAGTCTAAGTGGCTGGTTAGTCTTAGGTGATTAGATTTGTGGCACTAAGCCTTATATGTAACTAGCTACTATTTGGTCAGAACATTCACTAGAAACTCAGAGTCACTTTGAGTACTGTACAAGGTATTGTTTTACTTATACTTACTAAACTTATAGTTGAAGGATTCTGGGACTGAAGATTGAGTTGGGACAGGATGATGAATTCCTTCATTACTTTTTGTTACCAACAGACTACAACAACTTTGGGCTCACAATATTATCTGCATTAATAATTGCAGCACACTCTATTTTATTAATCTTCTTAAGTATTTTTTCTGACTCTGCTTTTGATCTCTGTCATCATTCAGACAATTTCATGCAGCCCTGGAGGACCTAATTGAGGCCAGCCATCTGTGTCCATCTAATCGGGAGATCCAGCGTTTGCTGTCCCGGGTCAAGGAAGAGTGTCGGCAGGATTCTCAACAACAAGAGTCTCCCCATCCTTTATCACACCATGCTTATCAACATAATGTGTCTGTCAACGAGGCCAGGTGCAGAGATTCAGGTTGTCTGCAGGTTCATGACAAGGAGGGGCTTACAGAGGAAGAGGAGGAAGAAGAGAAGGAAGACGAGAGGTGTTACAGGGAAGGAGATCCCCCTCCTCACTCCTCCTTCCACCCTACACCTGTGGTTCATAGTCTTGACACTCACTGCCGGCCTGTGGTGTCATCACCCTCCTCCCTCTCCCCTACTCACCTGTATCATCACCTTCCAAGCCCCATCCACTCTCCTTCTTCTTCAGCCTGTCATTCTGCTGCTGCACCTCCTCCTCCTTCATCCTCCTTTCACCATTTCAGCCCTCCTTCCTCCCCAATACAGCATCCGGCCTGCCAAATGTCAGAAAGTATCACTGCATTGTCAGGGACAGGAGGGCACCACTATCCACAGTCCTACTTAGCGCTCCACCACTCAGACCAGAAACAGGGAGTGCAGCAATACCATTTTTTGTCTGATCAGAGATCACCTCAGAAGCAGAACCCTGCACAAGGCCAATGGCTTCAACCAGCCAAAGCCCAGTTTGTTAGAACCAGTCAGCCTAGTTCTTCATCCCACTCCAGCATGGTTTTGGGAAGTTCAGCTTACTCACAGTTTGCCTATCTGCCCCAAGAACTGGATGAACTGGGAGACGGAATTTGCTCCGGTCTCCTAAATGTCAGGCCTAACCTGCAGGTCCAGGCTGGTCCAAATTCTGGAGCTTCATATCCACTTGATAATGTAGATGTTGACTTGACATGCCAGTTGAGACCTGCATCTTCCTTTGGGAGAGGAGCAGGAGGGGAAAGGGTGGGGATCAACCGGTTTGCCCCGGTCCGTCAGTTCACCCTCAACCAATCCAAAGCAGCTTGCTACCCCATGGAAGTTACAGAGGCAACAATGGGACCACCTGATAGCCTTCCATCATTGCATGATTATCAGTACCATGACCAGGGTGTCCTGCGACGTCCAGTTAGTGCCCATCCAAACTCATCCAATATCTCCTCCACCAGGCCTCTCAATCAGAGTGTCAGTGTCTGTTTCCCCACCACCAGCAGCAGCCTCGCTGGTGGGCAGCCAGCTAATCATGGATCAGGCTTCAGGACCTCAGCCTCCACCCAGCACATGGATTTACCCTCAGATCTGGCCTCTATGGGAGGGGTTACTAGTTATCATGATGATCTCTTTCTGATTTCCTCTCCACAGTCAGAAATATGCATGACAGGAGGTGGGACTTATCCTGGAGAGGGAGGTCGGTCATCAAGGAGCATTCCTTTTATGGGCGTTATTGACAAGACAGTGAGGGTGCAACAGCAGTATCAGCAACAAGCTCCTTCTAGTTCCTCATCCTGTCTCAGCCCCTCTCGCTCCTGGGCTGTGTCTTCAGTGGACACAGTTGTCACCCCACCTGCTAAAACCCCACCCAACCAAGGAGGCTTCAGTCAACAACAGCCCTCCTCCATTGCCTACCACAACCGTAGTAACAACAATGCCCACAATGGTCACAACCACCTAGACTACTATGAGGTGCTGCCAGGTAGTGGTACCCAGAGTGAGGGCTCGATGCAGGTTGCTAGTCACAATCCCTCTTACCTGGACGTGAAGCTGGCCCGAACACTGCCAGTGATTCATAGCTGCTCAAACAGACCAACTGAGAAAAAGACAGGACCTACCTCTCCTGTCAAACCAAAAAGACCCTTTGTTGAGTCCAATGTATAGGGAAAAGTCTAAATGTTAAGTCAGACACAAGGGAGGAGGTTCAATCAAGATTGTACAGCATACATTCCAAGGTTCACAGAAGACATGGAATATGTAAGGTTGGGCTACGCTTAACACTAATTAAGAAGTTTGGTGTGTATTTTTATATGTGTTGTTGGTACTGAATTAAGGGGGAATACAGTAATAGTAGTTGGCTATACACACCCAGGTCCACTGCTGCAAGAAATAGGTATACTTGTCAGATTGTTTGCTTCTGAAAGACAAGCACTTCATATGAAGCATATAAAAATATGAGTACAATATGGAAAGCATTTCTTCTTATGTTCATTAATTGGCAGGTGGTTAACATACAAACCTGATCTGCCGCATTGTTAACCATTCAAAGATGACCAAGTACAAAGGGAGGGAGGAAAACATCAGTTCGAAGAACATGATCTTTGGTTCTGAACTGACATCACAAAGCACAACGAGGAAAAGGAAGGTTGTGGAAATTATAAACACAAAAAAGACACTGGGAAAATTCCTCATTCTTTCCCTGGTTATCTCTGGCTAACTAATGTCTCTGGAAGTTCATATTACACTGCTCTTGAGTTTCTCTGCCAAATTCATGAATGAAAGCCTAGGTGGTGACAGTCAGACAGGAAAGACACAGAAGCACCACTTTGCTATTGACGCCTTTAATGCAGATTCGCATTTCAAGTTTGAAGCGCTTTAATGACACAATGACTGGAAACCTGGACACATCCATGCTCTAGAACTTGTGCCAGGCAGATGCTGGTCAGTGACCCAGTCCTAAGCCATAGTTTGAGAAACTAGGATTATGCTGTCATTGTATGAGCACTGACTTACTGTTTATAAAACAAAAGTAAGTGATATTTATCTTTTTTAAGTTATGTCTGTGTTAACCTATATGAATAGTGTTTCAACTTGGATTTGTTGTTTTTTATTTTGGAGTAATTTTCACTCGGAACACAGAAATGTTTTCCAGGAGATAAAAAAACAATAGCAACATAAAAGTGCAGTTTTGTTCAGTTCTGGGTTAAGAACTCTTCTTGCTTGTGTACGATGGCATTAATTTACAAAGAAAAACCCGAAACTATGCCTATAAGATTTTTGGATGTTATAACTTCAGGAAGGATTTTTTTATTTTAGTTTTTAATCATGAAGGTTTTTTATATCCGCTGGTCACATCGTTCCCAAACTGATTTACTGGGGCCTTGATCCCAATGCCATGGAAACCGTGCTTACATGTCCCATCAGGTGCTAAATGGCTCCTCCTACTCTCAGTAAGTCCCTGAACAGTACTTATCCAGTCACAGCTTATGTAACTAGGCAAGACATGGCCTATCAGTGTCTTGATTTCTCTTTACACATTGAAACAGGTGGCATGGAGCTGTAGTAAAATCAATCCTCTAAATTCAGTCTTTTTGCTTTAGCCTTTTAAAAAACAAAAACACAATCAAGAAAGCATGGAATGGCTTGATGTGTAATGAATTTATCTGCTGTAGCACTAGCTGTGATCTAGCATGGTTAACAAGTTTACTACCTACAGCAATAAGAATTGCTTTCGAAGCATTGGGCCACTAAATATGAAAAGCTTTGATCACCCGTGGGTAATACATTGTGTAACATCCCCCCTGTAAGCTGATTCTGGATGCTATCAGAGACTAGACTATCAATTGCAGTTTTCCTCTTCTCTTGATTTTGTGTAATTTGCCAAGCACATCATTTTATTCTCACTCACAAAGTCCAGTAAAGCTAAAAGTGATCATATGGCAGCCGATCTAACATAACAGGGTTATTTTAGATTCACATAACTGAACTTTGTGTTCCCATCATACTTAGATTAACTAGTTCTATACTCCAACACAAAAACAATGCTGTTGCATTTTAATGCCTCTACGCCAGTGGCCTTGAGGGAATTTCTTCAAATTTTTTTACGAACATTCACTGTCTCAATGATGATCTTATTCGATTTTGGTGGTCAAAGTTCAAGGGCACGATGGCCTCACAAAGCACATTTTTAGGCTTGTATTGAGATATTTCTGGATCGCCCTTGAGGGAATCGTTTTATATGTGGCACAAACATTCACTTGGACTCAAAGATTAACTGATTTGATTTTGGTTTCCACTGGTCAAGCTCACAGGTCATGTTTACGTTTTTCTCAAAAGGGATATCTGAAGATTAGCTTGAGAACATGTCTTCAAATTTGGCACAATCTTTCACTCATGGATTAACTGATTCATTTTGGTGGTCAAAGGCCAAAGGTTCCCGTGGCCTTGAAAAACATGTTCTTGGCCTCTTGAATGGGTTGTTTCAAGACCGCCTTGAGGACATTTCTTCAACTCTTGATTGGATTTCAGTGGTCATAGGTCACAGTGACCTTAAATGAATCTAGGGAATATTATGCAGTGTTGGAACAGCTGCACTGTTTTTGGCGAAGGCATACAACAGCAGTGCAGTATTTCTTGTTTACATGTATCCTATGAGAGTAAATGCTAAATGTTTTCCTCAGTTCTTTAGCACCGTATCATGTATGTAGCCATCAGGTGCATTTTAAGTCCCATATACATCTATCAAATTCCAAAACAGTTTCAAAAAATCAAACAGACATTATTTTCAACTCATGGAGCCAATGTTAGCATATTCAGCTACACATTTTCACATCAGCAAAATTAACAGTTGATGGCAAACCTCTGTCTAAAATCAAGAACCCATTGTTTCCAAAATCATTTATATTCAACTTATTGATTATCTGCTGTGACAGAATGGAAAGCTTGACAGGAGTACAAACAGTAACAAGAGGAAGGAGTGCACAGTCAATCATGGCTAGTTTTGCAGGGGGTAAGACCAATACTTTATATTCAGAAAATGGGACTAAACTGAAGTTTTATGTATTTTATGCACACAAATGCCTGTTTTTTTGTACATTTATTTTTACGTTTCTAATGAATCAGCAATTCTCTGTTAGAGTTTCTGGTGCCGATGTAACCTATGACCTCTAACCTCTCTGTCAGTCTCTATGACCACTGCCCTTTTCTCTTTCTGTGCTCAGGAGTCTCCAGCTGAGAGATCTTTGATACTAATCATGCTGGTTCACAAGACATTTTCACAGTCTGACTGCTGGAAAACATATAATTATAATTCTGGACACTAAGATTAATGAAGGATCATTTGCAAGTTTATTGGATGTCCAAGACTATCATCAGTGTTGCTTGAAATCCTTTATGAGCCACTTGGCAGATGTGTAGTCTGTCATTAAAACAACGTGTTGTGCTATATATGTAGAATTCCATCCCCAACGTAAGGGGTCTCAAACCCCAAGTTTCAAACACTGTTGGAACGGAGCAGGGTCGGTTTGGTCCCTGTTAGTTGGGTTACATGTGTGCTTTGTCACTGTGTAAGGTCATATTTAAAACCCAGGACTGTTACATCACTATGTACATCAATATTAAGCATTTAAAATGTGTTTTTTATCAGTTCATGTGAAATGATTGACTCTTAGAATTTCAGAGGAATAAAGCAGAATGAAAGGCAGATGTGTAATTGTATCTCTTGGGGGATTGAAAGGGGGAATAATTGAGCGTGACTTGAATGTTACATCTGGTACATTAGCTAAATAGTTTTGGAATATTAAAAAGCACACATTTGTTAATGTCAACCCTTGAATATGCTCATTGATGCCTTCTCTGTTTTATGCAATTTCATGAACATATGTAGATTGTGTCACCACCATGGGTTAGTTTCTAGTTTGTCATTATATGTCTTTATGATTTTGTTTTCGTTTAACTGCATTCACTCATACATCTACATTTGCTAACGTAGCTCTTTTTGCCATATGTAGAGAAATCCACTGAATTCAACTTAATTAGCTAAATAAGGTTTTGTATTTGAACTGAATATTTTCTCAATGTGAATCATTGTGCTACATTATGGTAACTATTTTAAAATTGAACACATCACTAGCACAGACAAGCAGACACTGATTAATAATGAGAGTTTCAATTCAGCATGAGTGACATGACTAACCAATTTAGTGTTAGTTGTTCAATTCCACCACATTAAAAGCCAGAAACAGGAGCGTTTTCTATTGTTGAGTAGTTTTAATAGTTCATCTTGTGTTTCGATTTCTATATTCCCACAAGGCTTTGTAAATAGTTGTTTCATGCAAAGTTTTGTTTTAATGGTTAGTTTGCCTCTGTTGGTGTAGTGGTGCACCAGGGACATTAAATCATTAAACCTTGTATTTTGGAGGAAGGAAACTTTAGACACTTAAAGGAATTGATGGAACCTGTCCCCAAACCAGTGTTGCAGTATCCATCTATCATTATACTGTCACTATTAAAAAATTAAACTCCTGGTTCTTTAGAAGATGACGTTGGCACATAAAAATGTTGCACATGATACAATGTCAGGATGCTGTCCTTGACTTTCAGTCACCTGCAGGTAGTCTAGGCAGTGACCACTGGATGGTGCTCCACATCTAATATGACCCATGTTCCCCTGCTCTGCTGCAGCATCCTGTGGGGGACACCCAGGAGAGACACACAGAGTGTCAGAGAATGTTTAGGAACAAGACTAGACTTCCTTTATACACTGTTTCATAGAAGAACACCAACAGATGAAGTTAAAGCAGACACACACTTTATTTAGAGATTTTACAATGACAATATGACAAGTTTACAGGTTATTATTGAGTGTATATCCAAGGAGATATGCTCTGAAGGCCAGACATTTTTCGGAAGTTTTCAGAAGGAGCTGTATGTGAGCACACAAATATCCGAGTCAGTTGCTTGCTAGCAGAAACATCCTTAAAATGCTGTGAAGCCGACCAGTAAAGCTATCAGATACATGAAGTAAGAGCAAAGTATTTCCCAGTGAAGCGTAGCTGTATAGAATGAAATGCAAAAATTTAAAATACTACTGTACAATTAACTAAAAATGATGGTTGTGTTGAACTGATTCTAGTCGGATCTTAGTAGTGTTGTGATTCTCAGCAATTGCACATTTCTGAAGGCACATATTCAATTTGCTGTGTAATACAATTATGATGTAAGATAAATAGACATTCACTCCACCGACCAACTCAACTAGAATGACACTAAAATGCAGCAATTTCAAACATTGCTTTGTTTATTTGAATTTCCTATCAAGACGTACATAAAGACAACACCCACTATTGTAGACTGGCCAACGCTCTATAAAAGCTTTGCTTTAGGCACTCGGGCAGATTCCTGAAGTCAAGTCAATAAGCCATTGCTAAACTTTATAGAATTTCCTTTAACACATTGAGGGGAAAGGATTTAATATATTTCGGATAAAAACTTTACAAGCAGCCAAACACGCCTGAATTCACATTGAAGTTATGATATTCTATATTTTTAAATGACAGTCTATTTAACCACAGATAGCTTAGTAGAGGACAGGTGTAGCTGCAGGTGTAGATGACTGAATTTGGCACATCAAGCTACTTGATTAAAATAATTAATGTCTTTATTCAAAACTATTATGCTTGAATTATTGATTTGATATGAGTGAAAGTTAAACTGGGAGAATGTTATTCCTGAAACAATCCTATAGATTTTTCTTTTTAAGAAAACATAACCTGTTGGTTTTTGTGACATTAAAAAAACATGAGGACCTCTGACTGTACAGTTGAGTTACAGAGTGGAGCCCCTTTCCTCACAATTAAATCTTTGGCTGAATACTGACACATGAACATGAGCACATTAGTTGAATGTTTGCTTGTCATTTCGGGCAGTGATGATAACAGATTTGTTGTTTTCAGGACATAGTGGACCAGAAATTGTCAAGAAGTTCCAATAAGGATTTCATAAAGTGGAGTCACTCATACTGTTGCATCCAGATTATTTGTCACTGTCACACACTAAACTGTAGTGGACAAACCAAAGCAGAGTTCAGCAAATGAAGGCTCAGGAATCTCTGGTGCAAAAGTCTGGTCAGGGCCAGCATGCAGGACAATTGAGAAGTGCTAGACTCAGGTAGCAGAGGGTTCTGATAGCTCCAGACAGTGTGTCAGGTTCAGTTTGAGTTTGAACCCTTTTTTTGGTCTCTATTCAGGTTTGGGTGACAATTTTTTCAAACATAATTTACTGAGAAATATTCTCTTAGTGCCCAGTAGGGGGAGAGAAATAGACAGACTGTAGCCACTGCTTGCACTCACCTTGGCAGTACTTATCAGTCAAGATAAGTGTTAAAGAAATAAGTGTGGGTCAACTTTATGACAGCGCAGAACTGAGTGGAAGCTATTGATATTGTAGGAGTTCGTTTGCAAATCTAGTTACTCCAGGACAAGCTGACTGAGATATACTTAAGCTGCATTTTTACATTTGCAATGATTATTTTTGCCTTACGCACTTAACCACTGCAGGTACACAGTGACGTCTGTCCCTTGGGTCCACATGTTGAGACGACAGCAGCTATGGAGATGCCATGTGATAAGAAATAAATACTTTCCGGTTGAAAGTTGAGGGATTGGTTAAGTAATATGCAAGATCAGGAGAGACAATCATTAAAGCACATAAACTATACTTATATATTTACATTTTCTGATCTCATGATAATTTCTGTATAAATTTCTGATTTTTTATCTAGGTATTAACAGACGGGTATTAACTGGGCAGGACACCATTCATATCCAGATGAAGTGGAGGCATCAGATGTCGGACAGGAGATCAGGGTGTGGTGGGTGATCCCCCCTCTGTCAAGGTCTTGAAGTGCACAGAAAGAGACTCTTCCTCTGGGTTAGGTGGGCGTCTGAATTCTTCTTTGGAGACCAGGTAGCAGAGCAGCACCCCAAAACACACCAGCAGGATCCCCAAACTGTTGGCCAGCACCCCCTCGGGGACAAACTTAGGGTACGTAGGCCTGGGCAGAGAGAAAGAGAAAAGGGATTCAGGAGATAGAGTCAGAGACAGACGTACAAAATAGATACAACATAGATGAGATCAGAAAAGATAACAAGTAAATAATAGCATAATAAATTTGTTTAATATAAAATAAAGACACACATACATGATGCTGAAGAGGAGTTTCTCTGTGATGCCAAGCAGACTGCTCCCTATGGCCATAACCACCAGAGCCAGACCACAGAACATGTGGATGGGGAGGTACGCAGCACGTAACCATAACGACGCAACGGGAAACAGGAAGAACAGCAAACCCATCACCCACTAGGAAAAAACATGAGTTTTAAAGTTATAATCCTCATTACACATCACATTTAGAGAGAACTTTACAGGAACATCTGTTCGCCTGCTTATTCATTATGTTCAGTCAATCATACAGCAGCAGTATGATAAATCCAGCAGGTCAGCGGCTTTGATTTTTACATCAAACAGAAAGGGGAACAACTGTGATATCAGCGACTTTGATTGTGGCATGATTGTTGTCGTGTTTCTGAAAATGCTGAACTTATTTAGATCTAATTTATTTAGAATGTTTCTGAAATTAAAAACCATCGGATGAGCATTAGTTCTGCAGATGGATGCAGACGGATTGGAGCAGACACAAGGGCTATGGTAACTCAGATAACCACTCTAACCAACTGTTGAGGTGGGTGGTCCTCAACAGCAGAAGACCACATCAGTGTGCATATATGCATGTGTGTGTGGGGGCTTGTTAGACGTTTCCTACAGATTCCTGGGGACCATAATTTTGTCTTCTTTAAATGGCTGTTTGAGGGTCAAGTCTTCATAGGGTTAGTGTGTGTGTGTGTGTGTGTGTGTGTGTGTGTGTGTGTGTGTGTGTGTGTGTGTGTTTACCTGCAAGCAGAACAGGAGTAAGGTAGCCATGCCACACCAGCTGTGAAGAGAGTACATGTCTGGAATCTTTGCTGCTCTGTGGAAATCAAACACAGCTACAAAACCTACACACACACACACACACACACAAATACAAAAGAAGTTACACAATGGCATAAACAATTATTTGCTGGTGTTATAAAAAGGCTTACTCACACATGAACATGTCTTTCACTCACCTATGATGCTAATGATAAGAGCAAGCAGGTGAATAATGCCATGAAGCAGCTTTACATTTCTCTTCGCCTCATTGTGAAATACTCTGTACACCAGGATCGCTGGAGAGAGAGAGACAGAGAGAGAGAGAGAGAGAGAGAAAATGCATTTTTGATTGGCTGATAACAACCAGTCTTTAGTCTACATAATAGTAAATTGTGCAAAGTTTAAGTATTTTATTTTGGCTACCATAGCAAATGACTGTAACACTATCACTAAGCAGCTTTGCACAGTTACAATTTGCAGTTTACAGAGTGAGTAGAAGTGTGACTCATATCTGAGCCTTTAAGAGTAGTGTTCCTAAGTGTGACGGTTGAGGAAAGAGAAACCAGAGGCGCTGGTGAATGTATCAACAATTAATTTGGACGTAACCTGAGAAAAAAAAGCAGATATCACAGTGAATTAACAGTGAGGGATGTGTCCCTGAGGGAAGACCCTGTCCCCAGGGTGTTTCCATCTCTTATTTACCATTCTCCCCACTCTCCGTCTAATGTCCAGTTGACCTTAGCTTGTATTGCTCTAATGTAATCTTGTGCTGTAACAGACAGCTGCCCTGTTGAGCCAGTTGAACTAATGTGGTTATTCTCATTAGCAAAAGTACCTCTGGCTGCAGGCACAAAACCAAAGAGGAGGGGAAAAACAGATACACCACTCTGTCTGTATTTCAGAGACTTCATCAGAGTTTGCAGCAGTGGGAGCGAGGAACATGAGCAGCCCTACATCCTGGACAACTTGGGTATCAACTGTGCAATATCGTTTCTGTTGTAGTGCAATCCATTCCACTATATGTCATCTCTCACTGTATATAAAACATGTTTACACTGTATATAGTCTTTAATCCGTTTATATATATATTCATTTTGTTTATTATTTTTTTTATATTTCCCTACAATTATAATGTTTATTGTATGTTTATTTACTATCACTTACTGACCCTCGTGAGGATGATCTTATCTTATCTTATCAAAGCTTATTGCCACAAACCTAACACATTCAAACCTGGTATTTTTTGTTATGCTCATTAAGGCTGGAATTTCAACCTAGCTGTGGGTTTAAAAAATCATTTTTTTAAAGGGAGTAGTGATGTCAAGAATCACACAGAGGTGCTTAAAAGCCTGGTCACAAATAGTGACTTATATTAATCAGTACAAATTCGAGAAATGTGTGTTTCTTGTAGTCTAGCAATGTAGTGGCTCTTACCTGAAAAGGTTTGAATGCTCAAATTATCAGGAAGCAAATCCCGTCCCTGCCACTAGCATCTCTCCTTTAAATCAATGTTGGTTTGATCAGGCTCATCTGAAAACAGTCTGACCCCTTTGTTCCTGCTTGCAGCATATTCTTAGCTTTTCGGATTTCTCGTTCTTTTTAAAGATTTTATCGGATTGACCACAAAACTCGTCCATCATTATGAGGGCGGGGATTTCTCAACCCATGAATGAACATGTGTCCAATGGCTTAGCTAAATTAAAATTTCTCTTTACACTTTGTATTTAAACAGTTTGACACAACTATAGTATAACTTCTAGAATGACAGGAGTAATCCCTCGCTGCTCAGTTTGCTGACTGTAGTTTTGTGTGCTTGTGAATCAATTCCCTGAACAGCTTCTTGCTGTCAAAGCTCCACTGGAAATGTCACCAGACACAGAACTGGCACGTTTAGTGATCACAACCATTCTTCTTTCTGCGTAAATCAGACTTTATCTGGGCGGGGTTGATGGCTGTCTGGGCAGTGTTAGCCTAATACATCAGGTCAGCAGCACAATGCCTGAGGCGCACACAGAACACACACACACACACACACACACACACACACACACACACACACACACACTACCAGGCTGACTAAAATAGCATACACATTTTGCTGGTATATTTCCTGTTTCACCCAGGATATTATTTAAAAAATGACTAGTCATATGCAGGACTATGAAGTTGATGGGGAATTGATGGGGAATTGATGGGAATAGTTATAATGGTTTTAACTATAGAATTTTAATTTCTAATGAAAAGTGCTGCAGTGGAGCCAATTTGTCCTATACTATGCAAAGTACTCCAGAACATGCTGATGTTACCTACAGACCATAGACAGTATAAATATATGGACATTGCGCCTCACCATTTCCAGAAATATTCAGAAATTAAGCCAAAAAATGTCTCCAATATGAATGGTACTATCTTGTGCTGATAACATTGTTTGGAGCCACAGTCTGTGCAGTAGCAATTAGAGGATTCACCCCTCTTTTATAGTGTCAAAAAACAAATCAAAACCAGACTTACCAGAAGAAATGGCATTTGAAGATCAGTATGATAAGAACTATCCTAAATGACAGAAGACTTATTTAAGAATTCTTTATTTAATGTGTAGACTATAGATGATATACAGATGGATGACCAGACATCCAAATGTGATGCAAAAGGGTCTTGATCACCACCTGGTGGCTAGCGGCTTTATAGTTCATATATCTCATCTCCTCCATATTAATGGAGGGGACATGGACCATGGAAAGTAAAGATTGATTTTCAATTTGATGCTGTTAAAACAATTCTGGCTCCAAATTCTTGTGTCTGGGATATTCTATGATATCATGATGAAAATCCACTCAGTGCTAGCAATGTGTACATCGCCGCCTCATCCAGTTGCTTGTCATTACAGACATGTCACGTAAGCATGCAAGAAACATTTTCTAAGTGGGCAACCTACATCTTACTGTTTTTTATTTCAATAAGTCACATCCGCACCTCCAGGGTGGAAATCTCAATTTGACGAGTGACGCATGTGGACTCACCGTCGCCTTGCAGGAAGACCAGCCCCAGCACCATGCAAAGAGGATGCAGGTTGAACTCCTGCGCTGAGCCATCCCAAGCGAAGCCCCCATGGTAGTGACCCATCCACACACCGGTCAGCACCACCGATGCCAGACCCAGGACCTGTGATGCTCCCACCAACCACACAAACACTGAGCGACCAGGACATGGAGCAGAATCATCCATGTTCTGAGAGAGAGAGAAACAGAAAGAGAAGTGCAGCTGATGCCTTGGGCTGTATCATTTGCTGAATTTAAGCTAAATGAATTAGATTAGAAAGAAAGGTGAGGTAGAGAAATCCAGATATGGTGAATGGGTATATTTTCCCTTCTACACTGTTGCAGCAGAGTTTGATTCATTTTAGTTTTTTTTGAGTGGGCAAAAAGCATATTTGTCCCTGTAACGTACACAAGGATCCACAGCTCAAATGTTCAAGAAAATCTAAAGCCACGACATTTCCTATCACCTCAGAAAAGCTAAGGAGGGTGATGAATTTATATTGGAGCGCAGACAGCTTCTTCGCTTGGTCAGAAAGTGACGCCACAGCACGACAGAACATCTGGATTTGACGGTTCCATTCCCAAACCCATAAAAAATAACTCATTCAAACCCAGCTGTAATTACATGAATGCTTTTTAAAGCATATTACTGCACTTATGCATGGACAGTAATAATCCATGCACTTGTTTAACCAGTTCACCTCCTTATATTCATATGCATCTAATTGAATGAATGAATCATGTTTATAGACTTTGTTATAAAATGCATCATCGTATTAATGAGTAACATTTTTTGCATTGTTATGTTGTAACTGGATAAGGTGGAGATCATTTGGACTTATTTACATACTGCACAGATCATATATTTAAACATATAAAAGCGTATCATAGGCTTTACCCTGTCATTACATTTTCTATCTCGAGGACTCAAGCAGTCTAAACAGAAGAAGACATGGGAGGAAGTGTGGCCACATTATCGCCACTATCATAACCGCACTAGAGAGAATAATCGGGCACACACGTCAGTGACACACCGCCATAACTACAGGGGTGTTCCACAACCTGACAGTGAGTGCCCACACCTGTTACCTCACACCGCCGGGACCCGACGTGACCCTGTGCCGTCACGTTCTTGTTCGAACGAGAGCTGACAGCGACACTGACATTGAAAACACAATGTGGGAAAATCAGCAGCAATAACAAAGGGCGGATGGTGGTAAATACTCACTGCGCTGAGGGCTCCGCTCCACTGAGGAAGTCCTGGAGTCTGGATCCGCCTCCTCCCTCTGACTGTGTGTGTGTGTGTGTGTGTGTGTGTGTGTGTGTGTGTGTGTGTGTGTGTGTGTGTGTGTGTGTGTGTGTGTGCGCGCGCGCGCGCGCGTGTGCGTGTGTGTGCCCAAGCCCAACCCATGTGCCAGAAGGAAAAAAAACTAAATCAACAATAACCACCACCACCACCATTATCATTGTGTTGTTATAAAATATAATATCATAAAAAAACATGAATTGAATTGGAGTCGTGATGTAGGCAAACGTCATAATAACATCATAAGAGGCTGAGGGGGGGGGGGGTTCTGCTCAGATTGATGACTAACAGCTCCAGTTTAAAGGTTTGTTGCCTTGACAACAGTTGGGAAGAGGGGGGTTGCGAGGAGCTGTGGAGGGGAAAAGGAGGAGGGTCTGTCGTTGAATCATGGCTGCTCATTAGAGGAGGAGCAGGGTCATTAAGAGAGGTTAGCAACTGTATTAAATGATTACGTTTATTTAGAGTTAAAAATCTTTACATAAGCTTGGATATTGAGGTTTTTTCCTATCTTTATTATTTATTATTTATTATTTCTCTTCATGACTTCATCATCAAATCCAGAGCTGGCCTTGGGTATTAGTGAACATAACCAAGGATCCTTGTGGCCACTAGAGGTGTGTTTGCAATATCGCCGTTTGAATTGTGTTCTTTCATATTACATTCAAGATTATTATGTCAAATTTAATCATGCAAAAATACAACATGATGGCTAACTAAGGTCCCAAGACATAGTGGCCCCCTAAATCAAATTGTGCTTTGGACCCCATGATGGGCTGCACTGTCCCTGATCACATCTGCAGCCTCCAGTGTTTTTTTTTTTTACTTGATGCACAGATGCATTATTAAATATACCGAAATCTCGGTAACAAGCTATTTCAGAAATGTGTACAGTTAAAAGTGAGATTTGTACCCAGAAGCCAGTCGGTATTATTGGCAAATGAAGAAACGGTGAGAAGCAAAGCAGGCTTGGAACATGGATTTTTCCACCTCTGTGGCAAAGAGAGGTTTTTGATGGCTGTGACCATTTCTTTGGCAGAGGAGGGCTGTATTTAAAAGATTCAAAACAGTGAGTTTAACTGCTAGGATTTGGCCTCTGAGAATTGGAGAGATTGCAGCACCAAGAGTAGAGAGTGGAACCCTTGTGGAGAATGGGACTGCACTTCCTGACATTCTCCATTGGATTGTGATGACATCCAAACTCTCTGAGATGACGTCATAGAATGACTGATGGTGCATGCATTGCCTGAGCAGGGAGACAAGAATGGTACGATGGTCAGATACCACTGTGTCCAGGCAGTGCAGATGGGAGGGACTTGTGCGGGTGAAGTTCACAAGGACAAGATTTCAGTAGCCAGTGAGCAGCTGCTGGATTCCATCAGAAGTCACCAAGCAGAAGCGGAGATGAAGATGTGGAGCAGACACAAGTGGGCAGCTCAGACAGTTCAGATATGAAGGGATCAATAAAGTACTAATAAATACAACACAGAACTCTTCGAAGCCTACAGGTAAGGGGTGGCACAGCAGGCAGAGGCGGGACTGAACATATTAATCACAAATCACATTTTTACAGCACATCAACACCAGCATCGACCCTTATCACCAGAAGCTCTCTTGACATCTTTGTCTATGTCTTCTATGTGTATGGCACCACTTTCTCATCCTGAGATTTGTTCTCTTTTTGGTATTTTCCATTTTGCATCTGTAAATTGTTAGAAATGTCACCAACATGCCCACTTGTGGTGAATCCTTTAGAGGACCATCTGCTATGTTCTCACATCGGCTCATCTGGACATTCTCCAGAGTTTTTACTAGGGAGCTCACTCAAACATTTGTGTTTTCCCCTGGAGCATGTCTGAAAGTTGCATATGTAGAGTAACAAGTACCTCAATATAGCAAAAAAGGATTTTAATTCTAAAATAAGGGCAGATAATACAGCAATGAACATTTCTTGCAGTGTTCACTCCAGGGTCTGGGGATCTGATGAGGGACTAGATGCTTAAAGAGGGGAATACGCAGGATAATGCAGTAGCCTCCTTCCACAATCACAGGTGCAAATAAAATCTAAGCAAAACTGCTGTTGCAATCTTATCAGTAAGTTAATGATTTTTTTTTTAACAGGAGGAAGAATTTACCATTAAGGCAGAATGGGACTTCTGTGTATGTGTGTGTCAACTCAAGTTTCGAAGGTTTTAAACACTGAGAGGGTTTACCAGACAGAGGACGCATTTCGGGCAATCATGGCCATTTTGTTCTGTGGCTGTAAAGCCATTCATAATTTATGTTGCCTCATACTTTCTGATTTTAGTTGGACAGGATTTCTTAGGTTTTTGTTGCAGCAGTGTCCTCCACAGCAGGGCTGTTGGTCTGATCCTTTGGTCTCTTTCTTGTCAAAAACCTACGCTAGCTTGAGGAGAAAGCAGCTTGATAAATGGTGCAAACTGCCAGGTCTACACACGACGTCATGAATGATGTTTTGACTGGCAGGCAATCAGAAAGATGAGCATGGCAAATAACATTTCGATATGATATATTATTACAAATGATATTTTATAATAATGATTAAAAAAAAGTTTGATTCTATTTTTTTGTTTCTTTTCTTATCTTCCCTCCAATTTTCTGAGGCTCCTCTAGGCCCCCACTTTGAAAAACACTGCCTTAAAGTACGAAAGGTTCTTCTTTTTTATTTTATGGTGAGCAGTAGTATAAAATTAAGCCCACAACGTGCGAAATATGCAGGGCTTGCATGATTTCATAATCCCTGCATTTTCGTTGCAAAAAAGTCACATTCTCCCCAGAAAGTTGAAAAATGTTGCGTTTACTTTACACAAGAGCAGCCATTTTCCTCCTGTTGCCTTGGGAACGTTATGAAGTTGAAAGCTGCAAACCTCGCGACGAAGACATGATGAAGTCCGCAAGTCAGTTTAATTTGCCAATGTGTTACATGACAGTGGAGGCAAATTATTCTGCACTCCCTGCAACTGCGTGTTGGACCACAGGCGGAAGTCGATGCTGGACAACCACTCTGCCACCAACAAACACTTGAGGAGGACGGCAGCAGCGTAAGCAGCCAAGAAGCAGCTCACCTACACCGAGGCGTCAACTTCCAAAACAGTTGCTAGGGCTGAAAGAATCTAGGTCAGTAGCATAAAGATTAAAGCTTGTGAAAAGGTTGATAGTCAAATTGAAAACGGAATGAAACAAAGAGAGACGTGCGTGCGTGTGTGTGTTGTGATGTTTGTGTGCTGTGTGGTTGTGGTGTGTGTGTGTGTGTGTACAGAATACAGCCCAATGATATTTTTGAAATATGTTTTTCTGTTTGTAGATTTGTGAAACATGGGTTGCCACCTGCACTGCCATAAACATCCAACTGTCTAAGAGTGACCACCCTGCACTGAAGACATTTCTGAATGAGAAAGTCCGGCGCCATTCCAGGTTTTAACCAGCTTCAAGAGATGTACTTGGGAGCAGTATATGAGAGGGGATGGAGGATGAGGTTGGCGAATGATTGGCCAGTGTTAGAGGTGACGCAATTTTAGTTTTCATTTTCACAGTGGACTGTAGTTTCATTCAGGAGTTGATGCAACTTTACAGTTGGAAGATTGCACTTTTTGTTACCAGTTGGTTTAGTATGTAAATTTACATTACAGGAAGAGATTGCACTTTGTGCATTGGAAGCACTTATTTTAACAGAAGATGTCTGTTTTGTATAGCTACCTCTGTAAAACAAGAAGCACACATTATATTTTATTGTTTAATTTATTCATTTCTACAGAAGTTGTAGCGTATTCTTTTTGTAAATCTACGGAACTTGTTTGACTCATCAACATTTTGTAAGTATGAGCCATGTGTTTAAGGTCTGAAATAAAACAAGATGAGAATTTAATGATTCACAGCACCTTCTGTGATGTAGTATGCTTGCTTATCATAGGAAGTCATTCAAAATGACTCTTTACATTAAGGTAGTAGCCTAGTGAGAACAGAGTGTTGGGGGAATCACTTCTTATTCAACAAACCACAGTTTTTGCAAGTTCCCGCATATTTTGCAAATTCCCGCAATTTCATCACCTAAAATTGCATAAATATCCTGCATATTCCATCGCATTTTTTAAGAAAACGTGCTGCATAATCAAGGATTTTTTCCCGCAACAATCACAAAAAAACATTTTCTGGAAAGACTGCAGTAGAGAATAAAAGTAGGTGGTTGGGTATCACAACCAGTCGGGTTCCATGTGAATGGGCGTAATGTAGTTGAATCACTCTTAAACAACATTATATTAGGAAACATAAATACATTGAGAACTGCGCACCGTCAGTTAGGTCCCCACATAGACTAAAAGCAGGCACACCTTGCATTCATGCACACATACACCCCAGGGTTAAAAGTACTGCCACCACAGTTTGGCTGCAACCAGCTATCTAATCTGCTATTACAGATGCTGAACTACCTCCTTGGTTCCTGGGGCAGGTGTGAGAGGTAAGTATTTCCACTGAAACTGATGAACAGTTTGTTGTTCAAGAGTCTCTGTAGCACCTGTCGGATGTTTTGCAAATGTTCCTCTTCAGACTTAAAAGATAGAAACTGAATATAAATACATGAACACAGATTGATTGTCATGTACAAGTGCCTGGAACACTGCTGGGACACTGATAAGTCCAAACGGCACTCATTCCACTCTGTCACACAGACCAGGTTATAGGCACTACGGAGATCCAGTTGTGAAAATATTGTGGCCCTGTTAAGAGGTCCAAAGTTTTCATTGATGGCTGTTGAGGTGGTGCCCAAAAAAAAGTGTGTGTATCATCATAGATAATTGGCAAAGTTTGGGGGTAAAACCTGGTCTGATTAGGAGAGATGGCAGCTCTCATTTCTATAATTATGACAAAATTTATTGGACAGATAGAAGCAGTAATAGGAGAGATGAAGAAGAGCAGAAATAATACACAAATAAGCCAAGTGGGAAGTGACACAATACACACACGCCTCTTTGCTAGCACATCCAAGTCTGATGTTGTGAGATCTGAGATGATCCGGAGGAGCTTATATTGTTTGAGTTGTAGGTTGACATTTCGTGATATAAAGTAGATGTTTTTGCATATGTGGGTCCAGAAGTCAGCACCAGGAGTGATTAAAAAAAATCTTGTTTCCATTTTATGGAGGCAGATTGGCTGTTTTTGGTGTGGATAAGGATTTGTCAGACTGTGTTAATATTATTTTTATTCAGGAGTTTTATTACAGGGGAGATCATCAGAAGGAGGGTTCCAAGTTGGTGTGCCCAATGTTGCATTTAGTTTGAACAGATGATTTAGGTAGTAGATATTTGAGAAAATGTTCCCCATGCTGTAGTTCTGGACCAGCTGGTTAAATGATACCTGCTTGTAATGATGGAAGATGCGTTGGAGGTGTGTGATCAGGATCATTTCAGATGAGAGTGAAGTTAGATGGTGCAAAAGTGGAATATCTGTTACCTGAATTCTTTACAAACAGTTTCTTCAATGTCTAGCCATGTCTCGCACTGACTAGGATTAATTAATTTTAATTCAATTTTAATCTGTATTAGAGTTGATTAGGGCTCTGAATGTTAGATCTGTTATTGTACTTTGTAGAATGAGCCACTATGACTATACAGAAGTACATCTACAGATTTAGCACGCATCTCAGCAATGTGATTGAAGGGCAGTGTGCATTGCAGGCAGACACAGGCCTAAAACCCATGACACGATGATGCTTATCGTTGTGGGTGTGGCTAAAAACAAAGTCCTCATGAGCACTCCGTAGCTATGTCTGAAAAGTCCATTAATGCCTGTGCACTATATAGAGAATGACTAGAGGTTGTTCACTTGGTTGGTGAAATATTTATAAAATGGGATATAGTGTCATACGTTTTGAGACCAATAGTCAGACCTTGCTTTATATGTTTACATTGTATCACAAGCTGTATTTGTCTCCACCATTTTTCAACATTTACTGCCACCACCTCAGGTGCCATGCATTACAACAGACCAGATTGATTAATCAATCAAATTTTATTTGTATAGCCCAGACATTAATTTCTTTGATGTGATAAGGAGGGAGAAGAAGAACGAGAAGTTCAATGTGTAATGTGTCCGCCAACATTCTAGACCTATAACAGCATAACCAAGAGCAGGTCTAAGGCGAGCCTGAACCAGCTCTAACTATAAGCTTTATCATAAAGGAAGGTTTTTAGCCTACTCTTAAACATAGAGAGGGTGTCTGCCTCCCGAACTGGGAGATGATTCCACAGAAAGGGGCCTGATAGCTGAAATAATATAATATCCACCCTTCCCTTTTTGTTGTAGCAAATCAACTGTGTGAGTTTCTCCAGGAAAGTAATGTTTATGAAGACTTTCAGTTGGGGTTTAAAGCTCTTCACAGCATGGAGACAGCTTTGGCAAAAGTCACTAATAACCTAATAGCCTCAAGATCAAGGGCTTGTGTCTGTCCTTGTCCTGTAAGATGCAGCATTCGACACTATTGATCATCACATTTATCACATTTTATTCACCACTGCCCTAAACTGGTTTCAAATCCTATTTTTCAAATCTTATTTTTCATATCGATTCCAATTTGTGCAAATTAGTGATGAGTCATCTGTTGATTTGCCATCTGGACCTCGTGCCAGATCATGCTGGAATAAATGTAACATATAACTTGCTTTTAATAAATTTAATAAATAAAGTAATTTATCATTTTTCTTTTCCTTATTTTTTTTTCTTCACATTTTTTGACTGTGGGACAAACCAGAGCACCTGGGGTAAACCCAAAAGATTTACCCAAACTGAAAAGACTTCTTAGAACATCTGATTGTTTAAGGTAGTAAGGTTGTCATATTATGAATGAAAAGTTGAGGCTATAAGGAAGAGAAAGGGGTGTCAGGACAGAGTGGAAGTTGGGGCGGTCAATCAGTAATTCTATTATTCCAGTCTGTTTTCAAGATCCTCCTCCAGTTGATTGCAATGCATCTTGTAACTGTTTGTTGGCTGCTCTGACAGTGAGTGGGAAGTAGGCTGGCTGTGGCTTGTACTTGTTGGTCCCTTCATGACATTCCAGACACTTCTCTACTGAGATCCCTGCTTTTCTTGCTAAATCAACCACGTATTTATCAGGGAGCCCTGCAGCTCTAATTCCCCTCAGCTTCATCTCTTTGTACTTATTAATGCACATAGATCTCTGCTGCGCTTCTTCCCTCATCAAATTGGTGTACTCTATTTCCTGCCTGCGCTTGGCTTCAGCTAAGAGCTCATGCTCCCTCACCTGTTCCTTGAGGACTTCTAAATTAAGCAGCCTTTTCTCTTGCTGCTTCTTCTCCTTCTCTTGCTCTGCTTTGATTCCTTTCATTTGCTTTTCCAGACACGCCTCAAATTCCTCTTTCTGCCGGACAACCTCAAGTTCACAGGCATGCTCAATGCATCTAATCTGTTCAGAGTGAGCCTCTCTCAGCTCTGCTTCTACCTTTGCTTTCTTTTCAGACAGCTCTTTCTCTTTTCTTCTCCATTCTATCGCTTTAGCATTTTGGTGGCTCTGTGCATAGAGCAACTGCTTCGCTGCCAATTCATCTACATCTTTTCTTTGCTGGGCCCACTGCTTTGCCAATTGTAACATTTTCTCCTTCTTTATTTGGCTCTGCTCTTCTTCATACTTAGACTTCCTCTCTAGTTCTTTTAGAGTATTCTCCACTATTTTCTTTTCAGCCAGCATGTCCTCCACTTTGTTCTGCTCCTGGGCCGCTTTTGTTTTAGCGTAAGCTTGCAAGCTTGTGTTATAAAAGTGTTGTGCCTTCTCCCTCTTCTTCTGCAGGTCAATGAGGTCTTCCTGTGACATTAAATATTGAATATGTCTGACCTTTTGTGCCTCCAGCTTTTTCATTTCGTCTTTCAGTTTCTTCTTCTCCAGATTTTGCTGGATTTGGTTTTGAATTTCTTGCCTTGCTTTGATAGCATTCTGTCGGTGCATTTCATCTCTTTCATCCAATCTCTTACAGATCTTTCGATGCTCAGCATAAACCATGGCATTCAGATCTTTTTCATCCTTTAACAACTTTTCCTTTTGCTGTTCATTGTCCCTGAGCTGGGCTTTTTGAATGGGGAAATACATAACACTCAGAATCTGCCTGTTTAACTCTTGAATTTCTTGCTCGTCTTCCATCCTCAAGTCCTTGGCATGCTCCAATTGGCACTTCTTTTCTTTTGCAGCTTTCACATTCTCTTTCTCCCTCTTGTCGAGCTCTGAGATTTCTTTGTCTTTCTCCATCTTCAAGAGCTTGTCCCACTCCAATTGGAGCCTTCTCCTTTCTGCAGCATCTTTCTCTGCCTCCGTCTGATAAACTACATTCGAGGCCCCCTCATTCTCCTCAGGGAGAACCTGGATGGTTGAGACAATCCTCTTATACTCATCAGATGAAAGATAGTAGGCTCCTTTTATATTAATATTTGCTTGATGGAGCATTTTTTCTATTACAGCGGTTGGGCCCTGTTTAGAGCACTTTTTTTTTTGAGAGCACTGTAACATGGATTTTCTGTGTGATGGTGGTGTTGGTTTTGGGCCAGGAAGCAGGGTTTTGTCCATCTTATGGGTGGGGGCCGGTTTTCTCCTAATATTTTGACCAGAGCGCTTTAACATTGTCCTGGAGGTTCTGCACTTGATAAAAAATCTAAGCGGCAGCACTGGTGTTTGATCTTGGCTGTATGAAAGATCACATCATGGTTTTATGACATCAACACATTCCTTTGATCTTGGCCTCAGAACCATTTTTTATGCCTATATAATAATAATAATAATAATAATAATACTTTTTGTTTTTAGGCGTCTTTCAGACCACTTACGTGGCAGGGATAAAACACAACAAAAAACAATGCAACAAAAACATCATTAAAAGTGAATAAAACGTTTAAGGAAGTTGCAAGAGAACTTGATTTCCTGTAGGCAATCAGAGAGAGAGGTAGGTGGGAGGATGGAAGTAGGTTTGGTTGAAAGGTAGAGCTGGGTTGGAAACCAGACTGGAATTGTTCAAAAGGTTATTGTCAATGAAAGTTATTGAAATTGTTGGGGTCTATTCCAGGTTTCTTAAGTATAGGAGTTATTGTAGCTGATTTGAAAGATGAGTGTACCAGACCATAGGTGAGGGAGGAATGTATGATGACTGTTATTAGGGAGAACAAAGAGGGTAGGCAGGCTTTTACCAGGACAGTAGGAAGAGGGTCTCACTCACAGGTAGATGGCTTGGATTTGTGAATGAGGTCAGAAATTTCAACAGCAGAGGGAAGATTGAAACTTGAAAGTGAACGAGAGAGAGGGGCTGAGAGAACCACAGAGGATGGACTATGGGAGGAGTTAGGAGTCAGTTGCTGGTGAATCTTGTCAACTTTAGCATTAATAAAGGACATTCAGGAGCAAGAGATTGAGTACAGATGAGGTGCAAGAGAGTCCCGTGGTCATAGTATGTTGTTTACCAAGGAGAACAGGGCGCTTTGTTCCCTCCACTTGAATTGATTAAATCTGTTAATTTTGCTGAAGAGAGATTATGAATAATATGATTTCTTTGTGCACAAGTCCAGTTTTCCTTTAGAGGCGTTCCAAGTGGCGGCCATTCACTTTGACTTGGTGTAGTGCAGGTGCCAGAGTGTATAAAAGATCATGAACACCATTTTTGTAATTAGAAACTAATTCATTAGTGGTGGATAAACAATTTATGCTAGGGAGGCTGTCAATACCACTGGAGAGAGTATTTAAATAAATGTCCTTAATGTTGTGAAATGAGATTACAAGTGACAGATTTGTTTTGCATAGTAGTACGTTGACCTGAATTTAAAAATTGTGTGCCTGAGCAAACAATCATTTATTTAAATGAGCAGAAATTGAACACCCTGCAGCAGGCCACTACTCTGGCGAATGAGTTTGCTCTCACAAACAGATTTTTTTTTTTTTTTCAGGTTTTTCAAGGCATTATTCGCCTCATTGTGACTCTTAACAGAAAACTGGTGGCACACACGTGTCATGTGTCAATGTTTCTCAGTTGGTCTGAAAGCTGAGAAGCCAGGTTTTTTTTGCCATAATCCTGATCACTTGATTGCAGACTGTGCAGCCTGGAGGAAGCAGGTGGCAGCTTCCAAGCAGCAGCCAAAGGTGGTGGGGTTAGTTAAAATTCATCTTTAAAGGATTTGTGTCTCTCACAGGGGAGGCAGAGGACCAGCGCCCAGTTATGGTGCTACGAGACAATGGTCAATGCTCTGGCTCATCGATATGTGTTTGAAGTTAGCGTTCTGACTAGAGCCCAGGCTCATGTGTTGATTTATCTGAATCACTGTTTTTTTGTCTGAAGGCAGGTCTCCCCCTGCTGGTTGGTCGTTGAACGGCACCTCAACGGACCCTAAAGGTGTAACAGAGTCTGTTACTGCTCCTGCAGTGTCACTGTCACTGACCAATGAGGCACTCAACAGCGCCCAGAAAAGTGATCTATCCTTGTTAAAATGTTATGCCGTAGCTGGTGAAGGCACTAGTGAGTGTATTAAGAAGCAGTTTTTTCTCAACTTTGAAAATCACATCCCCAGAACAGCATTTTATCATCTGAAGACTATATTAAAACTTAGAGCATTCACATCCCAATCTGGCTCACCCATATTGGTGCATGCATTCATTTTAACTAGGGTAGATTACTGTAACTCTTTATTTCAGTCAGTTTACCAAAACACACAGTTGGACATCTCTGCAGCTCATTCTGAATGCTGCAGCCAGAGTCCTTAAACGTACATGAATTTTTCTTTTACATATAACTCCTGTACTAAAATCCCTCTGTTGGCTTCTGGTACCACAGAATCAAATTCAAAATCCAGTATTAATTTTCAAAGCACTTAAAGGAATAATTCACAGAAAAATGAAAATCCCCTTTAAATTTTTTCACCACTATGAACGCTTTTCTAGTCTTGATGACCACTCAAAGCGCTTTACAGTACAGTTTGCAATTCACCCATTGACACATACCTTCATACAGTGCATCTATTCGCAGCACATTTTTTCTACTTCGGAATTCAGATGGTGGAAGACTTGGATCGAACTACTGACCTTCTGGTAGGTGGATGACCACTCTACCCCTCAGCCACAGCCAGCATGGGTGAAGTGTTTTAGTCCACAAAAAACTTCTGAAGTCTTAGGGGTAATCAGTGTTACAGCCAAATCCAATCCAATTTAAGTAAATGGGACCTTCTTCAGACAAAACTACAGAAAAAAATATTGCATGTGTTACCGGCACCAGATCTAGGGGAACTCTGGGCCAGCAGCAAGGGCCACACAGGCTATAGAGCACTGCACAGCCCAGATATACATGCACTAACTGTGGATCAACAAGGAGAGGACGAGAGTTAGCGTTGCTCATGCTCGTTTATTCTGACACAAAATGCAAAATATTAACTCAACATATTTCATAAGAAATTGGTTTAACTCGTAATATGCATCAACGCAATACATATTCACTTTCCCTTATGAATCAATCAACTCACATAATACATATACAATCCTACACTAACATCATATAAACATTTCTACAATATGATTACCATCTCTCTCTTTCTCACACACACACACACACGCACACACACGCACGCACGCAAACAACACTTAACAAAATGGCGAAATCGCGCCATGAACGTGAACGTCGTTTGAACCGGACGTTTCAATGATTACAGCTTCTACACCGCTGGCAGATACTTTTGACAATAGTTCAACACATTTTCTCATGTTACAGATGGCTACTATTGCTTGTACTCTTACAAAACACTCAGTGAAACTAAGTTGATAAAAACAACTCACCTCGCCGACACACGTCGGGACAATTAACTCGAAAACAACTTACAACACATCCGACCCCTCTCAAAATCATCTTGCAACATTACAGAGTAATGCATTAAACATTCACATTAGTTATGGAGCTATGTTGAATACCGAAATATGAATTTTTACCATACCTGTGGATCAACAAGGAGAGGACGAGAGTTAGCGTTGCTCATGCTCGTTCATTCTGAGCTGTGCATGTGCAGAGCCAGGCAGCTATTCTCCCTGGTGAAATCCACAGCAGCACTAGAGCACCATCTATTGGCGTAACTGTGTACTACTTTGATGTATGTGTAGTGCATTAAATGTCTGTGTGAAATGTCATGTGAAAATACATGTTAGAATTA